TAAGTATTATAGAATACAATATATAAAACACAATATATAGTATATAATAGCTAATATTAACAAAAAGATAAGATACTATATAAACAATCATTAGAAAATAAAAAATAAACTTGAAGATACTACTCGAGTATAAAGATTAGTTTTGAGTTAGAGAGTTCAACTTTTCCTTCTTTTATAGAAAACTATAATTCTATTATCTAAACATCTAAACATCTAAATATCTAAAAACATCTAAACTAAATCCGACTCTCCGAGGAATTCTCTACTAGAAATTAGAATGAAATTCTTTTGAGCATCAAGATTTATAGCAAAATATTATCAAATTATACAGACTATCTAATATACTGAGTATCCCCCTTCGCCTTTCGTTTTTAAAACTCATCCGCGAATCCGCTAACTTGAACCCGCTAAGATATATTCCTTCCATCCCCATCCCCATGCTAATCGTCAAGTATCTAACTACTTATACGTGCAGGGCTGGCACACTAAAGCGTGAACTTCACTTTCGTATACTCGAGTAAGACAGAAGACTATATTATATGTAGAATAAACCATCTTTATTATATCTCAAACTCTAACTCCATCACCATCTCCATCATTATTCTCACATTGTGAATGAGAGACATTAGCAGGTGTTATTTCTCCCTCTTCCTTTTCATTAACATACTCCCCCCCTCTCCCCCTATTCAGCTCCCGGCTGAACGATAAACCCGCTCCTTGAGTCCTATCTCGTATAAAATGACTCCCCTCTCCTTAAGAAGAAGCCGTTTCCTCTTGCTTTTCCCCTACAGCCTCTGTACGTCTATTCGTAGCATCCTCCAAATTCTCTCCCTTTCTCAACCCCAATTGATTAGTATCCCATCCCTTACTCTCCAAATACTCTCTGAACTTCAGATCTTCCGACGTGATAGTATCCTGACCAATATGCGGTAGACAAAATAGTGCCAAGAAAGCACTTAATATGCACAAACTACTCGAGACGTAAAATGGATACTGTGCCGAAGCAGATCCCTTGCCACCTGCTGCCTCAATATATGGGAAAACATATGTACCCACAAAGGCACCGATTTTACCAATTGCGGCAGCAACAGCGTAGTATTGACCTCTCACGCCGGTTGCGGATGTTTTAGATGCGATGAGGCCGATATTGTCGCCGGGTCCAAGTTCGCCCAGGGAAAGGAAAATTCCGTATACGACGACGAAAGCTGGGACATTTTTGACTTGAGATAATGTTGGGTATAAGCCAGACATGATGAATCCGACAATACCCTGTAATGAGACACCTATGGCCAAAGCATAGCGAGGACCGACCCAGTCGGAAAAGAAGGAACCTCCAACCGCTCCAGGGATATAGAAGAGATTGATAACGGTATTCCAGCCGAATGATTGAGATAGTGGCGCCGAGTCTCCGTAAATGTTACTAAGAATTTTGGAGGAGTAGATGCCAAATGAATAGGTTGAGAACTATGGCTGTATGTTAGCATAAATCAATGAGATAACTTGAATGTTCACGTACATCGTATATGAACCAAATCAAGGAAACTACGAATAATCTAAACCAGTAGTGTTTTATAACAAGCCCATAAGGAATCGAGACATGCTTCATGCTCTCCCTATTTACAATTAGCGAGTTCTGATAAGATTGAAAGCCTTAGCACATACCTTTGGAATTCCTCTGGTTCCTTCAACTTGAGTCGGAGATATATTAAGAGCAACGGAGGGACTACACCAAGACCAAGTGCAATTCTCCAGGCAGCTCGCAAGTGATCTTCTGTGCAAATGACAACCAACAAATATGGAATAAACGCGCCAACCACAAAACCGAAATCAATCATGACGTTTGTGAAAATGATGAACCATCTATTTCGAGTACCAGCTTTCAATTCTCCAGAAGCTTCGGAACAAGCAACGGATCCAGCAGGATATTCTCCTCCAATCCCTACTCCAACCAGGAAACGATATGCAGCAAGTGCTGCGAATAGACCTTGTGTGGTTCCTTGATATCCATATGCGCCAGCGCCAAGAGCAGCAAAGACGATGAGAATGACAGTAGACAGCGTAAGTGTGTTTGCTCTGCCCCATTTATCACTGGTGTAACCAAATATAATCATACCAGCAACGGTACCGGCAAACGTAATGGCCGAGATGTTTTTAACGGCGGCAGATCCTGTGTATACTGTTCCGTAAATTTTTCCGAGCATGGTAGAGACTGATCCGATTACCTGCATAGACATGTTAATATGCTTGCTCTACTCGAAAGTTTGTGGTAGAATGTTAGTATACATTATTGATGTATCCATCAGAGAACAGTCCCGAACCACAGGCCATGGCTGGCCAAAGTCGTTCCCATCTTGTCTTTTGGAGATCGGCGATAGGGACCAAGTCCTGTGTCCTGGAATTCGAATTGGCAGAAAGGTCATTATTGGCATCAGCCTTGGTTTTTTTGTTCCGATTGAACATTCCTCTTAAGTTATTATCGCACAAGAACCTAGCATTAGTTGTGCGATTGAAATGCTATTGGTTTTAAAGTTTTAGGGAAGGATTGAAAGGGTTCAAAAATGGGTGTGTAAGAAGGTAGTCTTAAATGAAAAGAATGGGATGATGTATGTGTACTCGATCGAGTATAAACTTTCAAGTGACGGAAGGTCAATTTATGTCCCAAACTAAAAAGCCTGGGGTCTAGAAATGAATATGGGTATGGGTATGTTAGTTAAAGTCAAGCTTTATGTACGGAGTACTCTGCACAGTACTGGGATTCAGTAGCTTAAAGCCAAATTACGCCTACCGTAGAGTATTCACTTGCACCCCCTCCCCCTCCCCAAGCTAAGGTATCTTGGTAGGGGTAGGATAAAACTTGGTAAACATTCAAACTCTCCCTGCAGTATCTTTGTCTTCATTAGCTGCAGTGTTATTCATTAGCAATGTCTAGGACCTAGATATGCATTCGTGACACAAGATATATCACCTTATGGACGTTGAACCTGATGATCACTTCCATTTTCTCGGTTGGAAAAGATCAATTGGAAAGAGAGGTATCAAATACGAACCAATCTGGCAGGTGCTCAAAATGGACTCTTCCCTTGCGATGCTGCGATGTAACAACCATGGAGATTGCATGTGATATGTGATGGAATTGATACCCATGATTTGATGATGTTGTGAGCCGTAAGCCGGTCAGACCCGTGTTATAAGTAGTTGTGACCAATGGCTGATATCAAATTGGTATGTGGGTGGGTATATACCTTGTTCAAAAGGGTTTAAGACATGACATTTCTCCCTCCAGATTTTTTCAGACGGAAAGTTATGACCGAGGTGGTTGCGATAACAGCTTACAGCTTTTTCAGATAACAGGTTGTCAGCCATATCCTTATGTTCCATTCATACAATACACAACACCACACACTACCTCTCAATATATTCTTATATCTCATCTCCAAAGAATATATGTACAATATATCAAATCAAAGCATTGCATCTGCATCACGAGTATGCCACAACAACCAGGCTCGATGTACCTTCGAAGGATGCAGGCCGCCACTCGCTCATACCGACGGGAAACTTATTATCCTTGTCCAAATATTAAGCCGTTGAGAACTGAATCAGCATGTCTATCCAATCATAGAAAGATGATGAAGCACGCCCGTCAACGATAAGAGCACCTAATCGAAAAGATCCATATCGGTTTGCCCGATTTAGGAGACGGGGCACACTAATAAAAAGTCCACTGTTGGACGATGTAAAAAATGGGATGAGAAATGCTTATTTAACACTCATATGTGATATGCAGGGTAATGGATTGGCTACCTACTTCGAGGTTGCCATTCCGATTTTCCAATCTTCCTTGTCAAAAAGTGGTGATCTGTAGAGATGCGTCAGTATGCCAAGGATACAGATATAGGTATTGACTTATAGTTCCATCCAAACTGTCGGGCAAGAGCTTACTACCTTGCGATAATATTTGATATCTGAATGACAAACGTCACAATGATGATCGATTTGCCTCTTTTTCCGAATAGATTGAGGACAATTTTCAGCCGGTCTTACTATGCAAGGAGGCCTGGTCTAGTCCTGGTGGGGTAAAGTCGACCGTAGCGGGGGGAATCACCGGGGATAGAATTAGTGCGGCTAGTGGGGATAGGCTTAGTAAGGCCAGGCCAGGCCTACTCCTGTTGTTCATCTCTTCAGTCATACGTTGAACATTGTACTCCTGTGTAGCACCGCTCTTGTGTTTTTGATCGAGGTTTGGGTTTGGTGATAAATCTGTATCCTATTTCTACTGGAAAACTTCAGCCTTATCAGCTTCATCATCTAAATTTCACAGGACAAACTATCTTGAGTTGCATAGCGCTCCGTTCCTTGTGCCTGCCGAGTCAAATGCAATGATGTCGAGTTGTCCGAAGGCCGTGGAAAGCCAATCAGGTCTGGATCGACGGAAAATTATCGTTGGCCTCGAAATAGAAATATAGCTGAGGCCAAATTGTCCTTCCGTATCTGTTCAATTTTCCATCATCTCCTTAAACTTTGGCCTTGACCTCCCCGTCAACATTTCTATTATTCTCGAACATCGCCAACGCCCTCTTCAATGTCTTTTTTGCTTCGTCATAAGTCAGCTTTTCCAACGCCTCGTCCCACGAACACCACATATACCCCGCAACTTCCTTCTCCTGTAACTTCAGTTCCTTCTCTCCCTCTTCTTTCCCGACCAACGCAGGCCAGAACCTAGCCTCCTTTCCATTCTTCCTAACCGGATTTATGTACCTCTCTGAAAAACTTCCATCCCATTCCTTTGCTTCTTGACCCTCAATTTCCCCCGTGTGTCCAATCGAATCAAATCTCAAGATATCCTCAAGTTTAACTTTCAAAGATGTCTCTTCCTCAAGCTCTCGGATAGCGGTATGAACGGTAGATGCATCGCCGGTTTCAGCATGTCCTTTCGGGAAGCACCAAAATGGAGGAACACTTTCCCAAATAGTCTTTTGGCGGATGAGAAGAAGTTCGGTATTGGCTGTGGTTGGAGGAGGTGGTGGTATGGATAGTGGAAGGTTGGGTAAGTATCGAAGTGCGATTATGCCGTAGGAGCGGTCGGTGATGGGTGGTAGGTTTGTCATTCTGGAATGCCACGAGGTCTGTTTTCTAAAGAGGTTTTTTTTTTTTTTTCAAATCTCTGTTGAAGTTAGATGCTGATGGTTGAAGGAGAAGGATTAGCTTGAAGACTGTCTGTCAAAACCCTAACATAGAAAGAAGGAGGATTAAAATAGAGGGTTAAAAATGATGAATGAATTGGGATTATAATGAGTCACATAGCCGGCACAGTACTTCCATGGCGCAAAAAAGAGTTTTCAACTTCAACCGCATACAAATGTAGAATAGAGAATGAGAAAATCTGAGCGTAAAGACTGATAACTTGTAGCTATGGATTGGTACTCTATTTGTTTCCCATCCCCGCAATTTTGATAGAGCGTTGCTGCTACTAAGAAACAACGTAAAAAACAATTGACTGTAACATACATACCTAGGTAGGTACAAACGACTGTTTTAAGAGATTGTGATTCTTTGTGAAATAAGGAAATAAGTCTTTAGTGGATATAATGTACTCAAGTACTAGGTAGATACAGCAGTATTACTTTGTCAGGTGTTGACGCTAGGACTTCGCGAACGCATCAAAAGTCGCGTCCCCAGATTTTATATGACCAGAACGCGTCTCCCACATCTCCCACATCGCATCAATCAATTACAGACCTCCTTCAACGTTACATCATACACACATAAACATACCCATCATCATTTAACAACCAAAATTCACACCATGTCTGTCCGAAGACGTCTTCAAACCGGCGCTCAGCGCAACGGTCCACAATCATCCCCCGCACCCTCCAGATCCCACCCTCCTAATCCAAACGAACGAATTCCCTTCCCACACTACAACCCACCAATCTGTCCTCTCTCCGCGCATGCCCAACGAGCCATCGCCAATATCCCTACTCTCCGTAATTCCGCCAAGCTAAAGAAACATATCAATGCTGCTATTAAAAACGTCACACAAACGACTGTTGCCAATAACGATAGGATATGGGAGCGCAAACGACAGGTAGATAAGAATGCGCGGAAGAGAACAAGGGATGGTCAAGAAGATGAGGAGATGCCAGCAGAGCAAAAGAATTTGGAAGTTCATACGAAGCATATGTCTAAGAAGGTTAAGTCTTGGACAGAGCAGGCGGAGATCGCAATGAGGATTTTGATTGATCACGGTGATGAGGTGGAGAGGAATGAAATGGTCATTGGGGATGTTTGTAATAAATTAGCTGTGGCTAATCCCGCGACAGCAAATCGGAGGAACAGAGGTCATGATGATGAAGAGGAAGAGACGCCGGATGGCGAGGTTATAAGTGCAGTGGAGTTGTTGGATCAAATCAAGGGGGAGTATAGGACGAAATATGAGGCGGAAAGTATGACGAAAAGGTATTTTGATTCCTTCCCTGGGGATCTATGAAGTTTTGGAATTACTGCTAACTGATATTTTTATAGATACGCCTCCCATAATGATTACAAGAGCTTTAAGCGTGTAGTCCACGATTCCCTCCACCCAGATGAAGATGTACCGCTTCCCAGAGAATCCACATGGTTCCCGTCCGACCGCTCGCAGCCCTCTGCGCAAGGTAACGAAGAACGCGAAGGAGAATCTTCCGGCGACGAGATCGTCATTGAAAGAATCGTCAAAGATCTCAAATGTCCTCTCACTTTTGCTACATTCCGCGAACCATACACCAACAACAAATGCAACCACAGTTTTGAAAAAGAGGCGATCACGGAATATCACAGAAGTAACGCGATGTTGAAAGAGGGGAGAAGAGTAGTCAAATGTCCGGCGATGGGATGTGAGAATTTCATTGCGATGAATGAGATGTATGATGATCAATTATTGTTGAGACAGGTGAAGAGAGCTACAAATAGGAGAGAGGGGGATGATGATAGTGATGATGGGGATAATAATGCTCCGAGAGGAGTACAGAGAAATAGACCTCAGGAGTTGGGCGATGAGAGCGCTTTTATGGATGTGGATGATGAGGAGCGGAGGAAGAGCGCACCTACTTTGACGCAAGTTAGTACGGATGGTGAAGATGGAGAGGATGACGATGAATGAGATGTTTGGGCACATTTTGATTAGGTAATGAATGGGAATGAAGTATGAAGTATGAAGTATAATAGGTTATTCATGGCATAAATTAATAATGTTGAGTATTAAGCTACTACTCTAATCGTCCTTTACATTTACGCTCTGCCAACAATTGAGCCAGATAATGCTGATACCGAAGGCACAAATCCAAAGAACCCGTTTGTACTCGAGTACATCGCTGCAAATAATCCTATCACCGATTTTTAGCCAAGTGATCGCTTTCATATCATATCTGTTTACGGTACGTATCACATACAATAAAAATAAATATCTACAAGAACCACGTACAACCAAATCCTATTAAAAGCAAGCAAGGCCTAACTTATTATAAGTATCCAGTCAGTCCAGTCCAGCCAGTCTAGTCCAGTCATTGGCCGATTCTCAGAAATGTAAGATTCTCAGAAATGTAAGATTACCTACGAGTAGTGAAGAGTAGTTTCGCATATATCTAATAAGGTACTCGAGTAGATATGATGAGCTACCTAATAATGTACCGAGTTTCAAATAATCATAATCATAATAATCATAGTCATAAATTTGAGAACAACAACCTAGATTCAGGCTGTATATATATGCAGAACCTACGAGTATATGATTATGCCTACCATTTTAAAGCTTGCTTGTAGTCTTTAAAACCTGTGTTGTGTTGATGTATTGATATATTCAATAGGTGTATACAAGGGGCTAGATTTGATTTGATTTGATTTGATATGATTCGAGCGGTCAGTCGGTCGTCAGCTTGGTGTACTCGTTTTCAATATAATACTGTAATATTCATAATGATATCAGAATCATTTATAACTTGTTTGTTTTTCTCGCTGATGCAAATATCGGGGGATTAGGAAACAGATGTACACGCACTTCTTGTTGGTGATGGTAGATAGATGATGGTAGATAGATGATGGTTGATGGTTGATGACTATAATAATAAAATGTATATATACGTGACTGGATCATTGTGGAGAATTTGGTTTGTTTTATTTACGGTGTTGTTTTTGTATAAGTGAATTAATGATGAAGCTTTGGCTGGGTGGTGGGAAGATGTCGGGTATGTATATGGAAAGCAAAATGATATTGAGAGTTCAAGATGATTATAAGAGGGAGAAGGCTTTGATATTTGAGAAATAGAAGTCGAATGAAGAATGAAGAGGAGAAGTGGAAAAAGTGAGAATAGAGGGTTTTATAGAGCAATAGTAATAATAAAAAATATACTTGGAAAGGGATTAGGAAGAAGAGTGAGTTAGATTTAAGTCATGTCACGGTCCAAAGAAAAAATAATAAATACCAAACTTGAGTACTGGTCCTGGTATTGTACATCTTTGAATTCTAGTTCCTGCCTAACTACATCTTTCTATTCTATATACTAATTTTCGTTTCTATGTACTATCAACAATCTGCTGTATCTCTATCATCTATTGAGATTACATAGGAGAATATCTTGCTCTCGCTTATTTCAGTGATACTAGTATTTACAATTTTATACCGATCTTTTCTTCTAGTATATTCTCGATGCAACAATAATGGCAAACGAGGACTACCTAGCTCGTATCTACTCGAGTAGCATCAAGACAATAATATGGAATCATCTAACATGTATTTTATGCGCCATATATAGCATTCCTTCCTCCATCACCGAAGATGAAAATTCGAACCAGTATGAACATTCGGAGGTTGTTATCTTGAATATTCGAGTCAAACTAAGATGGACAGCCTCTTTAGAAAGAACAGTGACTAGCAGATCCTGGTGCTTGGCCCATGATTTGATAACACTCATAGTAAACACTGTCACCAAAAAATGGACACTAACGACGAATCGAAAGATAGGCAGAGATGGAATTCAGCATGATGATAGATGAAGTGAAATATGGTGCTGTTCAATACTTGATCTGATGAACTGAAGAGGATAGAGGCGTGGAAAGGTAGAGAAATTATGATGGGCCGAGGGCTTTCACTCGAAGCCACAGAACTGGGGATCAAATTAGGCGACTCCTAATCAGGAATGGACTTCTTTCCATCAATCACCGTGTAGCTGTCGTGATGAGTTAACACATGCTGAACAGCTTACTGAGCTATTTTTGATTCATATCACAAGCGTCCTCAATGCACCAACGAAGCCACAAGATTAAGCTCACCCCGAGTATAAGACATAAACAAGCCAACAAGCCATCACCATCGCTTCGTCCTCATTGAGTCCCACATCTCAAATTGTCATATGTCTCTTCCCGGAGAATCTCTCCACGCAATCCCTAAATCTTCCACCCCCACGCATTTCCCACTCACTTCCCATCGCATAATCTCGGCCACCCACGGCTACTTGTATCAATACACACGGAGGAAAATATTTCCGGTGGTGGAGAGGTTTCTTGATATCTCGATATCTCAATACCTCCCAATAAATCGATCATCAAGCCGCGCAAGAGAATGCGATATCGCTCCCGGAATAGGAGGACGAAAAATTATCGGGATGTTTCAAGATCGATGAATTGTTGGAAAATTGTGGGAACTTGCGGTTGTAGTTGATGATAGATCATGATTCATGGATGCGTTGTGGAGAGCTAGCTGTTTAATGGATGGAAGTAGATTGGCTGATGAAGTTCAACTTGTTCGACATGTGCGCAATGCTTCTTTTGCTATTCTGATCTGTGAAAGGAGTAGAAGATACGGTAAAAGGGTGGAAGGGCCGAGATTCTTTTCAGCCTTTGAAGATTCATCGGTATTTCGGCGCGTAAATAACCTGATTATCGCCTGAGTTATAGTGCCAGTTATGAAACTGAGCACATATGAAAGTATACAGAAATGATTGAAATTGTAGAGAAGAGAAGAAGAGAAGAGAAGAAGAGGAGAAGAGAAGACAGATAAATGAATAAGTGTTGGGATTGTGAGAACGAGGGGCATGCGACAACATTATCGAGATTGTGATAAGGAGAGCTTTGACACTAGATTCTTTTAGGTTAGAGGATCCCCTACCCCGCTCTTTTCCAACTCTTTCGTTTGTCGGATACCAAGAAAAGGTACCAAAACAGACGACAACAACAGATTTACCTCATATCCTCACATCATGGAGTTATTTCCATATAAAATATCTGAGCTCGTCAAAGCAATTCAGATGGATGTAAATCTTCATGATGATCAAGATATTGAATATCAAATATCCAAAAGACAATCCAACGACATGGTGTGGTTTGTTTTGAAAAGAGGAACTGGTGATGAAAACAAGGGTAAACTCTAACATCCTTTGTTGTTCTGTTGTATAACATTACGTACCTCCGAAAACAGACAACCATGCATTATGGAAATGTATCAGGCTGAGAGATGTTCCTACTATAATCCCATACCTTCAAAGTATCTCCTCGGGGAACAGGAAACAGGAAACAGGAAACCTTTCGCTATATCAACAATACAGCAATCCCAAGGAACATGAAGAGGACCAAAATCAGCATCGATATAAGAAGTATATGGGGTAATAAGACACGATACATACTTTCTTTTCGTCTTGTAGAAAGAAGACAACCAATGCTGTAGCAGGTATAGCATATAGCATACCACATAACATCACACGAGAGAGAAGTGCCAGTACCTTGCAGCCAAACAAGATTCAATCAATCAAACCTTCGACCCCGCACCCAATAATCTCCTACCACTACCACTCTTGCTTCACTATACCAAGTCGGCCAACGGGAATTCAACATCGCCCAACCAATACGTTGAACCCATCAAAAGCCATATTACCATATTATTACTTATTTATTATTGTTGTTGTTGACTTTCGTTTTTTATCTTGCAACTTACAACCTTAATCTTCTACATCATCTAACATCGTGAACGAAGTTATATGAAGTCGGCCTTATCAGCACAAGGCTGCTTACTATTGATATTGACTAGACGATCGACTGTGCATATCAACCTTACAGTATCAGCCAAGCGTTCTTTTACCAAGAGTACGTGACGGGTAAATCGGTTGCAACATCTGGTACACTGAGCATTTCAAGTAAGCAACTTGTGTTTGTCTATCTATCTATTTCTTTACCACGGTTATCTACTTTACTGCTTCTACTGATTCCGCATCTATCTTTTGAACTTCTCAATGCTTTCGTTTGTTTCCGGGGAAATTTCCGATATCTCAGCTGCGTTCAAGCGTTTTAATACCACTCCCTGAGCCATGTCATCGTTACGGCTCAAGACGCCGGTACTTTTGTTTGGAGTTAAGCAAATAGTCAAATGGCATTGATCCAATCCCCACAAAATAGATGAATCCAGGTTGTTCTCGGATATATACATATAAACACCTTGTCCTAGGGCTATTTGGGCTGACAACTCACTGCTTCTCACAGAGCAATAAACCCGCTCAATATTATACCAATCACTCCATCGTGATTCTAATATAACTCTTATCAAACCATTCGCGATGTCTACCTCCAACTCCATCAAACAAGCCGCCGAAGCAGCTCGAAATAAAACATCAGAAGCAATGGAAAGTACTAAACGTCTTGCCGACTCTGCCAAAGCAGATCCTATCGCCGTCAAGAATGACCTCCTCCACACCCCCTTTGTGCGTGCCGCCCTCCCCTTTATCAACGGTGGTCTCGCCGGTATGACAGCCACCTCGGTCATCCAACCTATCGACATGATAAAAGTACGTCTTCAACTCGCCGGCGAAGGAATCCGCACTGGTCCCAAACCAACCCCTCTATCAGTCGCCCGTGAGATCATCGCTTCAGGTAAAGCCCTCGACCTCTACACTGGTCTTAGCGCAGGTCTCCTTCGCCAAGCCGTTTACACCACCGCCCGGCTTGGTTTCTTTGACAGTTTCATGACTACTCTCTCTGCTCGCTCAAAAGCTAGCAATAACACAATTAGTTTTAAAGAACGCGCGGTAGCTGGTCTCTCGGCAGGTGGTTTAGCGGCTATGTTAGGTAATCCGGCGGATCTGGCACTTATCCGTATGCAATCCGATGGATTAAAACCATTAGCTCAACGCAAACACTACAAATCCGTCATTGACGCCTTGACATCTATCACCAAATCTGAAGGTATAACGGCGCTCTGGGCCGGTTGTGCACCCACCGTCGTCCGGGCCATGGCTCTTAATTTTGGACAACTCGCATTCTTTTCCGAAGCAAAATCACAACTCAAGACACACACGGACTGGAATTCCAAGGCACAGACATTGAGTGCATCAGCTGTGGCGGGATTTTTTGCGAGTTTCTTTAGTCTGCCGTTTGATTTTGTGAAGACGAGGTTGCAGAAACAAGGGAGAGGGAAGGACAGGATTTATAAAGGGATGGGAGATTGTTTTGTTAAGGTGGCGAGAGAAGAGGGCATGCTGAGGTTTTATAGAGGCTTTGGAACGTATTATGTGAGGATTGCTCCGCATGCTATGGTTACGTTGATCGTGGCGGATTGGTTGGGGTTCATGACTAAGTGAGTGACACTGAATGATTGGTGGAAAGCGGGGAGTGCGGGGGTGCGGCGGAGGGTGGAGAGGGTGGAGAGGGTGGGGAAAGAAGTACATGTATGATGTTTGAAGGGATGAGTCAATGGATGAGCTCTGAGATGGACGGACTGGTTGATGGCATATTTTTGAATGGATGACTTGGGATGAAATTGGATGGAGTTACAAATTTTGGATACCAGCTCTTGTTATTATTCCTTCGGTAGTTCTTTGGATCAGGTTTTAGGTTTTAGGTTTTCGGATTTTGTTTTCGGAATTTTTGATTCTGTCCTTGGGAAATTCTATCTTATCTTATTTTATTTTATTTTCACTTTTTGCAAACCTACCTAATCATATGCATATGCATATTCATATCCATGTGCATACAGTGCAGATGGAAGAATAGAAAAATTTCGCTAGCTATAACCCATATAAGCTTACGACTCCGTCCCCTACCAAAACTGTATACAACACTAAACCCTTTATATTCAAAATCAATATTATCTTCTCAAAAGCCAACTTGAAAGCTCGCTTTGATGACTTGTAAGTATAAAAAGTCTACAATTACGAGTATTAATCTTGCGCTATAATGTTCCCTCATTGCGCTCGCTCTCTTTTTTGAAGAAACTCTCCCTTGGATTTTTTTATATTGAATTTATATCCTAGTGTAACTTACCTAGTCTTCTTTCCCAATTTCAATTCCCAAAACAAAAGTTGTTTTTTTATCTCAAAAATCTATCTATTTATCAACTTATCTTTTTCTTTAATACATATACCATATCACGGTAAATATATAACAATCATTATCACTATCAATCTCTCTCTCAACAAAAGTCCCATAGTGAACACACCAACTATCCGCTCATTAATCTCTATGCAGAGCTTTTAGCTCAAGCCAAACAGCCAGAATATAGAAATATAATCCCATTCCACCTCGAGCCCCGAGAAATCGTATAGAAAAGCTTTGTATTCGTTATTTCCTCTGGGTATACGGCAATATAATGTGACGTGGATTCATAGTGATGACGAGAGATTTTCAAACTTCATTTGATCTTCTGATTTTACAAAGCTATACTACATGCCATGGTATGTTCTAGCTGCCTCCGCATGTTTGATCGGGAGCCTGCCCTCATCTATACCGTCGACGAAATCACTTCTGCGGCGAATATTTGGGGATATACCATACTGCTTAGCATTGGAGACGGCGCATTTGTTCAATTATCTTTCACTGTGTGCCAATCAAAAGTTGAAAAGCACGAAATTCCCATTGCGATCGGACATTGTACATTTTCTCAATTAGCAGGGCCGGCTGTTGCATTGTGTATTGCTGATGCAGTATTTTTGAACAACTCAATTCCTGGTATCTAGAAACTGGCACCATCCCTACCAGTCGGGATCATCCAGGCGGTCATTTCTGGAGCATCTTCAAGGAAAATTCAAGGGGTCAGCGAAGAGGTAGAACAGAAAATCTTGCATGTAATCGTGAAAGCAATGAGTAAGGCATATGTGTCTTATCTGTTGTCGCTGGTGCACTGACGCTCATGATGGCTCTATTCATGAAAAGGGAGAAGCTGAAGCTTCGAAGACCTTACTATTAGCATTAATCGTATTATTGTGATCACAGGTGCAATAGTCATTATCAATTTTTTCCTTGGGTAGCAAGAGATTGGTCCAGATCTGATCTGCTCGCTCAGTTATGTGCAGACAGTACTTGCTTGATAGTGATCCCGCACCCGGTGTGGGTTAATTCCAGATAGTGCAATATCCATAGAAGTCATAGACACCTGATGTAATCTCATATCCCATCAAAACTCTTCCCCGTTCGATAATCAGAATCGCTTATTACGGTCTCTAAGTTACAGGCTGTACCTTTAGAACATTTTCCTGCTCTCCAAAATTTACAGGCCAAGATATGCAACGTTTGCAGAATCAAGATAGTCAATGCTGCTTACTGTATTGAAATGTTGGTACCTATTCGCTTTCTCACTGCATTGAAAAGGTCTGGCAATGTTTTATTACAGTCAGATGGAGCTTTTACGTCCCATCTCTAATGCAGGTCTGCGGCCCGGCATGCAATGCCCGGAACATCTCAACTGAGATTTTCTTACTGAGCCCTCTTCGATTTCCATATATAATACCCTGCCCCTCCTTTCGAGGAAGCTTTTTAGACAATAATTATCCATCTCATCATGGCACAACCATCGATCACTGAATTGGCTGCGATAATATCGGCAAATACTACCAAAATTGACGATTAGTTAAACAGTCGAGGCTTAAAGTCTCCATCATTTGACGTTGAAGCTCCAACAGGGCCACTCGTCCCTGCAGATGATCTTGTGCTCGAAGCTGCTCGATCGGAGCTCATTGATGCAACCTTGATGCTTCATGACCTTATCCTTGGACCCAAGGAGTATTTGATGAAGTTTACTGGGAGTGCACAAAAGATACACTACATGATCCTCACTAACTTTTCAAAGCATGATTGGCTCATAAGTATGCAAGCAATTAGTCGGTTTAATATTGCAAATAGCATTCCTATCCATGAAGAAGTCTCTTATGCCGATATCGCAAAAACCTGTGGCGTCAATAAGCTTGACGTCCGTCGTATCCTTCGTCATGCCATGACTTTACGCCTATTCAAAGAACCAAAGAAGGGCGTCGTTGCTCACACAGCTGCATCCAGAATGATGGCAGAAGATCAACAAATGGCCGATTGGGTCGCGACCAGCACCGATGAGCTTTGGCAAGCCGCATCACAGACTGTTAATGCTATCGTGAAGCATCCAGGATCCCAAGAGCCAAACGAAACGGTATGCTTATTGGAGACAGTGGCAATGAGCTAGACTAACATGGTTTCATAGGGATTCGCACTTGCGAATGGTACGGACAAATCTGTATTCGAAATTTTGTCCCAAAATCCACCACGAGCAAGACGATTTGGCAGCGCCATGAAAGCTTGGCCAGAGGGGACCGGCTACGATCTTCAATATGTCATTGACAACTACCCTTGGAAGGATCTTGGTAACGGTACTATTGTTGATGTAATGCCGCTGCCACTTTTGGCTAACCAGTCCCGCTAACTAAACCCACAGGTCGGCGGCTCACACGGCTTCGCCTGTACACGACTTGCAAAAGCATTCCCGGACCTCAATTTTATCGTCCAAGACCTTCCACCCGTAGTCATAGCAGGCGCAAAGACCACCCCCTCGGAACTATCCGATAAAATCCAATTCATGGCACATGACTTTTTGCAAGAACAGCCCGTCAAAAATGCCGATATATATTTCTTCCGCTAGATCTTCCACAACTGGTCCGACAAATACTGCATCCAGATCCTGCGCAACCACATCCCAGCACTCAAGAAAGGCGCTCGCATCGTCATCAACGATAATGTACTTCCGGAGCCGGGAGCTTTGCCCTGATGGCGCGAGGAGCGATTGCGTTCGATGGATCTTACGATGTTGGAGTTGCAAAATTCGAGGGAGAGAGAATTGGATGATTGGGCGAAGCTGTTCGAAGATGCGGATCTACGCTTTGTGTTTAAGGGTGGGAATCAACCTGCAGGGGCTAACCTTTGGATTCTAGAGGCTATTTGGGAGGGAGATTCGACGTCGGGTTAGCTCACGTGGGGTGGGTATTTTCTGGGTAAACGGTTCGGGTATATCGAGCTCCCTAGTTTTCACAATAGGATATATTTCCTAGAAAATAAACGAACACACACTTTCCAGCTGAACATCGAAGATCCTGTTGACTGATCTCGGAGAGATACACTTACCTTCCTAATACAAAATCACAGATAGATTCCTATCATCTTGAAAATGGTGTCCACCTTGCTGCCTGGCTATATGATAGGTCAGACGAAGTCGGCGATGACATTAATCGGTAATTAGACCTATATATGTATATAAATATCATCACATCCCCGAACTCTTTCTGATAAGGCTATTGATTTCCCAAGACAACATGACTTGACTGACTGTCAGCTTCCTCAAACACACCATCTTATTTGCTCAAAAATATTGGGCCTTCCAACCCCTGTGAAAGTCCAGATTCCATTGGCTATTCTGAAACTTCAAAGTCCAAATTGGATGGCAAACCATCGATAGCTGAACGGATTCTTTCCAGATGGGTCGGCATCCAGATATCGTAGACGTTTCTCGTAAACTGGTATGCTGTCCATCTATCTTTACCATTTATTGCTGTAAGGAAGAACTGATGAATGGGATGGCGATAAAAAGTGGTTTGCTTTCCATCGATCACAGGATAATGACCGTAAATCCTTACGATTTGGTGATCATGTGAAATCGAGAATGCTAAGATCTCTCGATGAAGCTCCTCTTCTCGTCCGACAAGTTTGAAAAGTTCGACTATCCCTCTTACAGCAAGTGTCATACTATGAGAATTTTGTCGATCCGCAAGATCGAGAGCGTTAATATCGGGAGCATTAACATCGAAAACACTGCATTTCACTTCCGAAGTTAGAAACGGAAAGTACATCTGTAAGGTAGCCATATAAAAAGAGTTGACAGATTCCCCAATGTCACCAATATGAGGTGTAAGCTTTTCCAATTGATCATTTGTGAAAGCAGATCGTTCGAACCCTACAGAATAGTCCGGCTGTGGGCGAGGACCGTAGAAAGGTATAGCTCTGTTCCAACCTTCATTTACACTTTCAATCAAACAGTGGAGATGTATGGTACCATATCCATGTGTGGCCAAGGATTCCGCGGAAGGGACAATTAATCGAGCAATATCTTGAATTACCCTTGCCTCATTCTTATCCTGGAGGTTTCGGCAGGCTTTTTCGAACGTTTCATCGTTGAATAAAGATTCTCGAGGTACTGTCTGTTCTGTCTCCAATAATTTTCGGCAGAGGTTCTTGCTTGCATCTGTAATGCCCAAGTCGGACTTGTCCATAAAGCTACCCTTGGATGTAAGAACAATTGGATAGCTCGGATTCGTATAAAAGGCACTTCTTAATTCTCTAGGCTTTTCATCGCTGGGTGTCGTGATGGAGGTAGTTGCCGAGAAGCGATCTGCAAATTCTTTGTCTGGAAGAGTTGAGGATTTCTTCTTCGCAAGTAGATTTATGTTTTCCTCGGGTTCGAAGTATTCTTTTGGCCAACAAAGTTCATTTGCCCAATATTCAAGTGGGTTGATCATCTTCTTGTCTATATCAATCGCTGTATGCTCACAAGCTGTATCTTCCGTTTGAGGTCGTGGAGTGGATAATCGCAACCGCTTACGGAAAGGAATGGTAATAGAAGGCATGGTATCTTCGTTTTGTGGTCGTTTTCCTTTTTGTATCTGCGATGGCTTGAATTGAGTTAGCTTTCTAGTACATCAGAATAAGAACAATGGTATACCTCTATATCAGGAGGAGTATGGCTGGTTGAGGGAGGAAATTCGTGCTTTGATTCAACATTATTATCATCGGATAAAGTTTGTTCTTGGGGGTATGGCATCTCCTGATCTTGTGATGTTGAGACTTGCAGCCCAACCCTTTGCAGGTCTCGTTGTTCGACTTGACGCGAAGTCATATCGATTGGAGGATAGGGTTAATGGAGATAGGTTAATGGACAGGTGAGCAGAGATGAATTGAAGACTTGACGTGGTGCGCTAGAGTTGAGAGCTACTGCCGTAAGGTGGTATTCTAGAATCACAGTACTGAGTATTACAGGTAAAATATTAACGCTAAGCCAAATATAGATGAGTCAATATTCGACTACATACCTAGTATTTAAACGTTTTTGAAGGATTTCAATTTGAGGAGAAAGTCTAGATGGTATTTCTATCAATTATGGGGCCTAATAAGACTAGGTTATCAGTCTATCAGACTTATCAGTACAGGGTAGAACACTTTCATTGGCATGGATTAAGCGGCAGATATTGGTCTGTGTTGTCCAGCCTTAATATAAGAGTAGAAATGACGATCAAATTTAATATACTACTAGTCAATGAGATATAGTTGTTATATAATCTTTGCCATTATATACAATCACCATTAATCTCAAAGATTTTCCTACGCTCTGCCTACTATATTAAACCCTAGGTATCCTTCAATGACTCGGTCTCCTCTGCTCCCATATCAATCAGGAAAGAAGCTCCACCAACAAGATGTAAATCCCCAGTGACGAGTATATGCATCTCTCCTTGCTCTCTAACAAGCCCAAGTGCTTCCTCTATACTACTCGTCACCACCACCTGAGTTTGAGGCTCGAGTTGTTCCCAAAGCTCTTTATAATCGTTCTGTATTCCAAGCGAGGTCGGTTGCTCAGTCCTCTTCACAAAATCTGTGACCGTATCAGTTCCATCTCATCAGGAATTCACAAGAATAAAATTACCTAGTTTTACTGTACCATCTGCCCAAAGATCATTCGCGGTGAAAATGGCGATGTCAATTTTGACATTGGCATGTTTAAAGTATTTGTGGAGAACCTGCAGGAGTTCTTTACCACTTCGTCGCTCTGATTCATGATTGAAGATAAGAGCTTTGCGAGATGCACTGCTCTCAGTCAGCAAAGCACATTCATTGCAGGCAAGAACATCCATACCTTGGCGCAGTTTCCGCAAACCATTGTGCGGTAACCTGTAGACTCTCTGGGGTATGAGCACCATCGAGGTACCAGCACTGATCCCCATTTTGAATCAACTGTAACCGGCCCGGTATATGAGTAAGTCTGAGTGCCTCGGCGGTACAAGCTAATATCTCGTCGTATCTAGTAGGCTTCAATACCGTAGGTGCTTTTAGATCCAAAAACTTATTCGTCAAAGCTACGGCAAGAGAGGCATTTTGTCTCTGCGCCTCCACCTTTGTGTATAGGTCAGGCAATTCTGGGTTGAGGGGAACAACTTTAAAGTCCGAACCTATCTGAAATGCTCTATCCTTGAGGACTTGGAGAGCCTCGGGTACTTGGACAGACGAGTATGACGGACAGTTAGATTTGAAAATACCGCTCTTATGCCAGGCAATGCTGTCGATATTTGGGCCCAATCTCTTGACATGATCCATCCCCAATGTTGTAATCCCTGTAACAACTGGTTTCGAGAAAACATTTGTTGCATCGTTTTCACCCCCAACCCCAACTTCGTAGATTGCGGCGTCCACACCTTCCTGGAGGAAGATATGAAATGAAAGAAACGTCAAAAAGGAGAAGTACGCTGGCTTGTCTCGCTCTTGCCCGACTTTTTTCGCTTCAAGTGTGTTCCAGACGTGGAAGAAATATTTTGCAAACAGCGTTTCTGAGATAGGGTGAGAGTCGATGCGAATTCTGTCACGTACAGATGTCAAGTGAGGAGAAGTGTAAAGCCCGATTTTCTGAGGAAAGCCGTATCTTCTGTGGTGGGCGCTCAGTATGGATTCAGCATACATGCAAGTGCTGCCTTTCCCCTTAGAGCCGGCGATATGGATAACATTCAGACGATTGAGCTCCAAAGTCTGATAAACGGGAGTATTAGATGGTAAATATAGCGGTGATATATTCTTACTGAATACCCGATCCTATCTAGCCATTTAATCATGGAATTTTTAGCCGATGTCAGGCCTGGTGAGCTGGCTATACGATACTTCTGTACTGTAGCTGGATTTGTTTGTAGACTATTGAGACATTTGAGAGCGTCCTTCGTCAGTCAGTATAAACAGCTAGATAAAGACATAGCATTTACCTGATAGGTTTTCATCACCTTCATCGTATTGCTCAGACGCGTGATGCTAGTCTTCATTTTGAGTCTATAAGAAAAGTTGAATTTGACAGAATGTCACGTTCTGCAACTCAACCTTGCATACGAGATCGCGGAAACATTTCTCCGCTTGAAGGCCCCATGTTGTGTGTGGCCCGAGTATATCCTCATCGTCCCCAGGTTTCTGAATGCTGGTATCGTGGTAATCAAGGCAGGCAAAGCCGAGGCAGCATAAGGTATATAGTCCTTGAGCACGCTTTATGCCCAAAGTTGAAGCAATTTGATGTAGCTGTGATGAGCTGAAGCACTGGCACGGCATAGCAATATGGAACAAAATACCACGCACCTTCTTCCCTGGCGATGATCTCTATCTGACTCAGGTAGCCATTATCAACATTTCAGTTTAGTATTGAGAGATATCTTCAGTACCATCTATACATCTATACCCGTTCAATCCATTCTGAGGTTTCCTCGTCTCGTAGAGACTCTGACCGCAAACTACTAGTATACTCTGTGCATAGGTTGTACTATACCTAATGCGTAGTCTTGAGGATAGTTCTTCCGATCCGGATCTGAAGACTACATATCTGGTTAGATCAAAAATTGTGCAATGTACTACTAAAAAGTTTTTATAACTACATTTCAAGAATACCTCGCTTAAGCCTAAATTCCATAATATCACGCTAAGATATATACTATATCTACCTCTCACCGCCTTCGCATAGACCATACTAGTAGTTTGCTGTAAGAGTCGCTACGCTCCGTCGAAAAAGCGACGATTAGACTAAGAATGCGTTCAATCCCTCATTCTCAACTTTTACCTTTCAACACTCACCGCCCAAGCAAAACCACTGACACTCCGGAAATAAACCCCAAAAATGGTCCTTATTCCCAGTCTATGCATTTTCCCAAAAGTTTGTCCAAATTGGGATGGATGGAGGATTTGAACCTTTTTAAAGATTTCAGATATGCAACAAAAGTTTTAGGGTCAGATGACGTTTCACCGCTTTGGGCAGAATGGGGTGTTGATTTTGGGGGCTGGGAGGTGATTAGGTATGTATGGTGTTGTTTTGCGCATTCAACAAGTATGATTCTGATGATTATGTGATGGTTCAAAGGGTAAGGCTTTACTCTGCCATCTTCCATGATCGCATTGTATGAAATTTGAATTATCGCGCCGTCACATTCATTTATCACAAAAATGCTCAGAACTTTGCCGTGTCACTGACGTGGGAACTGCCCGATGTCTATATCTTTTTGATATATGAGATTACATCCATACTAATTTTGGGCAGGTAAAGAGTATCGCGACTTTGTAGAAGTGATGAAAGGCAAATCCTGGAGGGTTTGGTCCTCGAGATATCCAATACAGGTGATCTAGTCTGTTGTCACCTGTACCTTCATTCAGCTGGTCTTGTATGCCCTTCCTGTTCGCATATAATGGACACTACTTTTCTCGCTGCTCAGATCTGCGCGAGTTGTTAGCTCAGATGTTCCAGAAGTCATGGCCACGCCTTACGTTACCATTCGCCTCTCCTATCTATCGAAGAAATCGTTTTGTCTAACCATCATAACAGCGTCGACAACAACGTGTTAGGGCATAATTCCAGCCATACCTCTGATGTATCTCAATACATAAGGTTCAGTTCGATGCCTCCCAGAGATTCGAGATATATAAACACTGGAGTAGTATTTCTGTTGTGGGAGATGTATATAAACAATCTACGAGAAGTGTTCAGGTGGCAACCACCAAGGCCATCATACCTATTAGGTTTCCTGCACGACATGCATAAGGTTATGGCAGTTTGAGAAGTTAATGAATATGTGCAGGGGGGTGTTATCATGCATCAGACTGAATGTATAAATTGTCATCTTGGAGGTCATTGTTCGGAATAAAGATTGAGACTCTGAATCTTTGGGTATTGGTGCTAATAGTGACGTCCGTTGTAGAAAGGGATTTTCGAGTGACCTTGGAAATTGGAACCGTTTGGTAAGAATATGGGCGTACAATTACTCGGTCCATCCTCCTTGGTAGAAAGAGCTAATTCGATGGCATTGGAGTTTGGAGAACTACTTCATACTTCCAATGTTAAGTAAATAAACCTGGATGGTAAACTCGGTGTACCGTACGAAATTGATGTCCAGATAGCTGCCGAGCTCCAGTGCGATAACCCGCCCTTGCATCAGGAACAGATGGCGGGGCATTCGTGGCTGAGAGTCACGTTTATTCGCGTTTCGGAGGGGTAACTTGTATGATTGGTGCCACTTGAGTTAAATATTTCTCGACTTGTTACGCGGTTCTGTTCATATTTATGGTTACCTAGACAAAAGTGCTGAAATAGAAACCAGATCCAAGATATCACTTTCTTATCTCGTTCATTCATTCGTTCATTCGTTCATTTACCTACTTTGGTTCAACCTCGTACCACAACAAGATAGGATACCTAGTACTCCGAATCAAACGTGGACCTCTGCTATGCACCCAACGCACGCCTGCATATCCATCAGATCTGTTAAATCGACCATTTTCCACCGCTCAGAATATACAAATACGAGATCCTTTTGCGCCGAATCTGAAGTATTAAGGGTTTCCTGCTTTATAACCCTCCTTTCATGAACGATAATCGGATGGGTATCTCAAATCAGCATCGAAACCAGACACCAAACATCAAAACGCCAAACCATATCAACCTGTGTATCCCAATAAGTTACCGGCTATCCCTAAATCATATATGTTCACCGGAACAATATGAGAAAGCATGCAAGATCATAAGCAAAACTCTCTCCACTTTTTATCAGTAGCGCCTTCCCAAGACCCCACCCTGCAGTCGGGTCGCGTATAAACATTAATAAGTATTCATTCGTCGTCGCTTCGAAGCTCTTTCTCCAAACAAGGCATTGCTCCCAGAATCCTCTTGTCTGTTCGATGAATCTCCCATTTGTTGTTGACGAAGGAATGCTTGATATTCTTTCCCTTCCTGCTCTTCCTTGCTTCGTTTCGACACTTGATAGATTAATTTTGCGGCCAAATCTGTATCGATTTCCGAGGATGGAAGGAAACGTCTAAAGGGAATTCTCCCTTGCGAAGAAGTGTCGAAGTGTTTCATTTGCTCTGGAATTTTTGTCAGCCCTACAACTACTTCAACTGCACTGCTGAACTGCACTGCTGACAATCACCTTGGATAGATTCACCACGGGTACTAATACTCTCCCTGTTGCGATCGCTTTCCTTGTTGTAATGAGGATCTCTGCATTGGCTACCTAGCAGTATGTCGGTGTTGAGCGACTCTTCATTCTTAATGGTGAAATTCGTGTTGAAGTGTCTGTCGGCTTGTTCATCGTTACTCCGAAGAAACCATTGCAGCCGGATGGGTTTGTCTCTGGTCTCTATCCCATTCGACTCCAGCCAGGCAGAGCTCACAAAGCTCTCAGGACCCCGACCATATCTAAAACCTGCCCCTTCTAGTTCGTTCGTCCGGCGGTTGAGTACATACAGGAATTTACCTCCAATCTACACTAAGCATCAAAATTTAAACTCAATTATACAAGGATACGGCGACTCACATCAGTAGTATCGTCAACTTCTGGTTGCGACTCACATAATGGTTCTTCTCGTGTCTCTGGGCTTTCTGGAGGTGTCAGACCACTCTCATAGGATGTCGCAGACTGTGGACTGATTCGATCTGCGTTGGGTATTGACTCGAACAGTCTTTCCCCCGGTCCTCTTTCTTCCCTCGCTAGGTCTTGGTCTATCTGCCTTTTCTGTATCTCTGCGAAACATTTTAAGATTCGAGGTTTATACCATTCCAGATCTCTGTCTGTGAAAGAAGGACGTATAGATCTCATGTAGTTCTTCTTATCTTGCCAAGTTATCCGCTGCGGCAGATTTCCCTTTCGTACTAGCAAGGTGACGACCTCCTCGATCGATTCCTCGTTCATAATCGCGGCATTCTTGTTAAACTTCGGGGCAGGAGCTTGCGATGAAACCGATAACTAATGTTGAGTAATACAAGACTATCCAAGTGTATGGTGTTGAGATGCGACTCCGATGTCAATGAGGACTGTTTTTGTGGATGAAAGATACAATTGTTAAACCAAATAAAGTGTATTAAATGGCAGTTGCCAACTGCCAGTTGGTACTACACGAACTAAACTGACTACCAATTTGGGTTAGATGAACTAAATTGTCAGTCTCATTAGTTTAACCAATCAAACTGGTAATTTCAAACCTAAACTGATTGTCAGTTTGAATTCGAGGAACTAGACTTGTCAGTTCAATTGTCAGTTTAATCAGTGTATTTATTGATTTGACTGGTTCTTACCCCACTGATAGAGTCTAATAAAACCGACATCACTCTGTACAGGAAGGTGCATAGGTACTAGGTAGTTCATCTCAATCTCGCCTAGCCTGTCGTGTGTGTACACTGTTATAGGCCTATACTTTTCTTATACACCTGGCGTTGTCCCGTTTGTCCCGTTTGTCCCGCTAAAATTATAGATGCCAAAGCCTGAAAGTTCCCTCGACATATTTTGTACATTGATACAGGCGCGGCTCCCAAATTTCCCGATAGATGACGACAGAAGCAGCCCCTCGTTTTCTATCAATCTTCTGGAACATTTCCTGAAAAAGAGGCTTACCAATAGCAATATCATTTTATTTCAACGAGATCAATCGAAACCTCCACCCCCCTACTTACTAAGAGATTATAGAAGATCGAATTGCTAGTGGATATCCGTAACAATTATTCTCTGTGACATAATACCGGTACTCAACTACATTCTGATTTCTTTAATGCAATTGAAGCTTTTCTTATGGCGCATGTCACGGGATACTGCAATCTTTGTCACACAAGCATTTGACTTGACCAATTCATTGGCTACCCATTCTAAGAATTGATCCCATTACAGGAACTGCCGGTAGCAGCAGTGAGGCTAAAACCTGCTGTAGTATTTGTGGGATAACTGGTGAAAATTGGTATATCCAAATCAATACCCCGGGCCTTGGAACTCGCTTTTAGACACTTTTTGAATAATTACGATCATCTGGCATCACCTCATTCATTCGAACCCTTCAAACCACCTTTAACCTTCTCAGATGTTTACATACACCTTACAAATCACTGTTCTGTTGTCACAATTGGTTTGAAATGTTGAGGTTAATGGATGGGCCAGTTTCCCCTCTTGTTCCGGCCTGCAAATATTACCATGATCAATACAACTCTGACGACTGCACAGTGCCGATACGCTCTGTTGGGATCAAAATTATATTCGATACATATGTGAAAGTTTCAATTCACTTGCGATATGAAATTCATTTGAGAGTTCCAAAACCCTTCCGATACCGAGATGAAGAGTTTTGTCTAAAAGACTCCGGATAGATCTGACTGCCATAGTGCTTTAAATACCCCTTCATTCACACCACCATTTTTGCTTCTTTACACATCTCCACAGATGAAGACAATTACAATTTTTCACCATTCAGGACATCGCGACCAAACATCACATCAAAGAAACCAGGAGGGGCAACATAAAATTCCGTCTTGGTGGTTGTACGGCTCCCTTCATTGCACCACCTTATTTGAATTATTTCGTCGGTTGATAACTCTTTCCCCCCAATTTTTAGATGTGTTGAACACTCCGCCTTTTTGACATGACGTTCAAGCTTCATGCGGCTTATTATAGCTTTGCTGACATAGCTCTGATCTATATCTGCGTTGATCATAGCAAGTAATCCATAGGTGTAGCATGTTGGAGGAAGCATTGTTATGTGACGAATGCTATTTTGAGGTTGCTGATATTTTTGAAGTCAGACGATTTGATTCCAAGTGGTACAACGCAGATATCATTGATGTCAATGAAAAGGATTGGACTTACAGACTCCTCCTGACTGAAAGGTCTTGCAGGGTCCTTAACTCCTCTGGCAGGTAGTCTTCGGTGTTGAGGCTGCGGACTGATATTACCGGCTTCCAGAGGTACCCGACTAATTTCCAGCTCTGTTAGAAACGATTTTGTTCTTTCGTTTGTCTGGTCATTAGGCTCTGGCGATCCAACATCGGGCGATTCTCGTTGATCATTCTTTCCAAGTGTCTCTTGCTTTCTCAACCACCTATCATGCTCTGGACTCTGCGGTTGTCCCGTAATGAGGTACAGTTGTTCCGAATGAGTCTTTCTGTAGAATTTCAAATCCTCCCATTCTTGGACCTGTTTGGCGCTTGAGTAGCCGGGCATCATGTCAGGTATTGAGGAATTGTTTGTGCGTCAAACAAATCATACGACTGCACTCAATGAATCGATGGTAAAAGAATGGAGGAAGACACGTTATATATCTAATGAGGTTCGTGGCCTGATTGACTCATTCTTCGCATTCAAATTCAAATTTCTGAATATGTAGGTACACCGAGTGCCCATCAAATCGCATGTAAAACATACGAGACACACTTCGCACTGCCATCTTTGATCTGTCCTGCCACGTCAATTTGACAAATACTGTTGGATCATACAAGCCAGGACGAAGAACAGGCGTATTGCAAGGCGTGTGGACTTGAGCCTCTTTTTGACTGCCAAACGACTATCCATCATGAATGCAAGTATCGCAACTATCTAAGCCATTGTCTCAGTGCTTTATAACCACATTTACCTATGACTATCGGTATGAATGAGTGGTTCTGTGTAGTATGATCCAATACTTACTTGCAGAATATCTAGCTCTTCGGCTCAGACATGCATGGCAAGGCTAGCCCTCCACTGATATAACACGACATGATATGGCTATTGAGGAGTTCACTACCAAAATCCAACGCCCAACAATGTATTCTGCGTCTGACACTATGAGTCGTTTGTTTGATATTGATATTTGTGCTTTTCTCCAATGGTTATGATATTTGGCGGGATAAGATTGTCACGCTAGTAGTGGGGTGGATTATTAACGGATTGAATTGTCAAGTAAAGTTCTATCTCTACCTACAATATGGCAGTAGTGGGAATACATCGAACCAACGATCTTAGCATTCCTCCACGAGATTCTCAAAAGTGCTAGCCATTATTATCCTGCTACGAAACAAGCTATCGGTAAACCTTGTGATTTGACAAAGTGGCACCGTGGCTCAAAACATGGCTTTGACGGATATATCGAAAACATATATTGATAAAATCACTCGGTCGATATGCACTGGTAGAAGATAAAACTCTAGAAGAAAGCCTGCTTGGCGCAGTGGTAACGCGTAGCACTTGTATGTGATTTGTTGTAATTTATTGCAATTTATTACGGTAATGCTGAGATCATTGGTTCGATTCCAGTAGTAGGCAATTTGTTGGTGGATGTTTTTTGGTGGTGGTTGTACTCTTTGTTGGGTTTTGTTGAATGAATCTATGGTGTGTGATTTTTTAGGTTTGGTATGTTTGGATGCTAGGATGCTAGGAGATGGGTTTAGTGGAACTTTTAAGCGTTTGCGGAGCGACATAGACGGGGTAATGGACTATCTATCACAGTGGAGTTGCCAATTGCCAAGAATGAGGGGCAGATGCTCGGATATAGCGGCTATTTCCAAGAAACATTGATAAAGAACAGTGCAGCAGCAGCATCATTTCGAACTGGGACATGTACGTCAGTGGTTCCTGCATTAGCGCAGAGACGGGGTAAGGTAGCGTTTTGTTGGTTGCTGGGCCCGTAACGTTGTCGAGATACGGATACCTACCACCCTTCTTGTTTGCGTCGAGAGATTTTACAAACAGAAGATGTTCTCTCTCGAGTACGGAGTTAACCACTCGAACTCTGGAATAGCTCCTGGATTTGGACTCTAGGCAAACCGGTAATGCCCTTCATGTTGAACCCGAAGATAGCACGAGAAGCTGGCCATATACACAAGTGAAGCTCAAGCTCTTGGGATGAAACTTTTTTCACAGAAAAGAGGTCTGAAGAGAATATAATCTACTCCCACCAAACTCTAGAAGCACTTTACCTCCTTAGCACCTCAACAAGAAGTACATCGTTCATCGTCGACATGTCTCTCGAGAAGCATTTGCTGGACTTCTCCAAAGTTGAGAGTCATACGAATGTTTTTTTTGGGGGGAAATGTCACGGTTTATCTACATAACATTCAGAAGATCACTCTTGGCGAGGGTTCTCCGTCATTTCCAGTTTTCTTCTAGCCAGGTCTCAGAATTCCATCAAGTATCATTCTCATTGTTACACGCAGTTATTTTGTGTGATTATTTGAGAGCCTACAATTATCACAATAGATGCATTTAAGCTTACAGATTGATTATATAACGCCAACAAAGATGAGAACAATCCCGAGGCTATCATCAAAATACAAAAGCTAAAACTCCTATCAGCCTCAGTACCCCTTACTCTTTTGGGCCTTTTGGGCCGACGGCTTGTTGGTCTTTTCCGAATGTCTGTGAGTCCCGCTCGATGGCCTAATCGGTCGCCGCCTCTGCTCATTTTCCCTGGCTCGGGCATCGGCAGCTGCGCGGTTGCGATTTATGGCCTCCTGTTCTTGCGGCTAGGACCCGTAAGCTCATATCTTCTCATTCAGCGCAGATTAGCACATACCGATATATCTGATTGTTCTAAAAGAATGGGTGTGTCATCCACTCTATCATCCCTAAAGTGGTTTATCTCTGGCAAGGACAAAAGATTGCGTCCGAACAGCACATCAAAAGGGCCATTGTCGATGACTCGAAATTCGGTCTGATGTGATATCAGACGGCCTTCAACCACCCAAGTTGCCGTTACCGTCGATCCGGATGTAAATATCTGGCCGTTGAAGTTCATAGTCGTGATGAGTTTGCCTCTTTCGACCCGGAACTTTTGGCGTTCGACAATTCTCGAGTTTATCCAATTTTCGTCTGTGCCGGGATCGTTCCTAGCGCAGAGACCATTCCAGCAATCGTTTTTGGGTGAATGCATCGAGATGCGAACATACTTAGGATTCTATGAAATGGTCAATCTCATTGTCAAAATGCAAAGTGGGCATTCTCGTCAGCATGTTGCGTAGCACCATACATCTATTCCAACACTTTATGTTGGTTCGACACTGGTCCTTGATAATACGGGGCGACGTACCGGCGTTATAGATGGGTATTCATTGAATACATCTTGTACTGGTGCGTATTGATTATGCCGAGAATTGGAAAAGGTTGGAGGTGCCGAGTTTGCGGTCTGCCATTGATCGCCCGTGGACATGGAGGATCTGGGTGTGAAGTTGGGAGTTGAGAAGCTCATTTCAGAGTCATCATTAGTAAGACTCTGAGTCATATTCGATCCGCGTGTTGGGTCTGCAGGATTTTGAAACCATGTGAGCGAAGTTTGTTGTCTTCGATTATTCCCAGAGGGAGGGTTGTTTATCTGGCCGTTCTGGGGGTATCCATTAGGAGGAGGATTGGTATTTGGATGACCTTGTACGTTTGAGCTCTGATGACGTCGGGAGTTAGTAGCGGGACTATGTGCTTTCGGTTGTTCTTCTGAAGAATAATCTTCCTCTTCCTCTTCGTCTCCTTCTTCAAAATGCTTGTGGTCCTGGTCTCTGGGAACGTTAAAAAAGTGAAAAACCAAGTCATCCCCTCGGTCTTTGTCGGAAGCAAGTTTCTCAAACTTGCGTCTCTGCTCGGGCGAGAGATTCTGTCGAGGCATCCTGTCAGGTTGAAAAGAAAAATACTACCAAACTAAGCCGCGACTTTGTATTTTTGTGAAAAAAAGGTCTTGCCAGGAAGGCAGAATCTTCAACAAAGATTATTCTCTACCCGGGTGGGCGGAGTCTGGCTTTAATACAGGCTCCCTTGAGACTCTGCTGGGCATCACTCGGAGTGGTTAGGCTTGGAGGGCATGAACGCAGTGCGAGGTTACAGATATGCTTCTAAAATCTCATTGGCATACACAACGAACTCAATACACATTGACCAGGGTCACGGTGTATGTATCCGTACATGATATGTTCAAACTTCGTTATTCAACCATACATGTAAGGTTATGGGGTGACCATTTGAGTAGGCTGTGGAGGATTATTGTACAACTGATCACAAGTTGATATATTAAAATCTTTATTTGGCTTCGTTGGTAACTTTCTATTTGCAAAACGAAACGAGGCAATCGAGGCAAACATAAAACCTTGAACACAAGGAAAAGTCGGTGAAGCCTTAGTTCATTTGGTTCAATCACTATGAAATTGAATTCTATGATTCTATCAATCTACAAATAATTCGACCGAGCCGCACGAGTGGATATCATCCATTACTTTAGCTACTCGACGTCACTTCAGACAGCCAAGGATATTGTATACTATGCTGCGCATGAATTTCCGCGCGACAAGGGTCTGAAAGAGCTTGAATCCCACAGACTCCCCAGATGTAGATTGTTACTCGGATCTATACTTGTATCAGACTTCCGAAAAACCATGCAGCAGCAGGATAAGCACTGGAACTTGGTTACAACGCCGTATTTGGTTGCTATATTTCGGGTTCTTGAAGGCTTGGAATCCTCACATGTTCTCGCTTTCCGTTATTACAAGGTTCGATGAAATTCTGGTGGTACTTGGACACTTGTCGATTATTACTGCGTCAGGCTTTGAGTACTTCGATACTCGTATACACAAGAATAAAATACTCGGCAGAACTCCTCAGCCACCTCTTATTTCTAGGCAGAATCCTTTGAGCTTAATTCCACGACTTTGGAAATTAGACACTTATTGATTCTATACAGCCCCATTTTGATGATACCCGGTAGTCGATGATCAAAAGTTGTTGAACATTCAGAGGCGGCTTGCGACGTATGACTGGATAAAAGTTCATGGGTTGGCGCAGACGAATGCACCCCGCCAATTACAGCATAGAAACCAATGCAGCGTATGAGGCTTAGCAACTTGATACCACTTCTAAAAATCGGTCGCATCTCAAGAGCTATCATTTCGAGTTTAAAAAGTATCGTACTCGGTGGAATTTCCTTGGTGGTGATGGTGTTGCTATATAGACAAGAGATGTGAACTAGACCAATAGTGAGGGCTCATAGTAGGACGAACTAATCACAAACACTCAATCGGCAATTTTTGCGTGTTGTCATGCAACCCTCCGACGTATCCACGCAGGAGGCAAATTGCGGGAATTCTCGGTCTTTGATAAATAGGGGGGGGGGGTCCCTTGAAGACTTCGTCCTCTAAGTTTTAGACAGTACTCGACACACTATGTTTTATGGTTCATCTCTTATTCAATAATGTCTAATGAAGGGTATGCCAAATTGGCACAAACAATGGCTCGTCACGATGAACTAGGGATTTTTCGACGGTTTCGCAAGCTGGGTTTACAAAATCTGCTCTATCTGCAAGCGGAATTGACATACCTCGAGGAAGATCTAGAAAATCTGGCTCAGAGAGATGCAGGTCATGGGGGTCGGGCTGAGCACTCGAAAGACTGGTACTCTTTAGCTCAAGGGTATGAACCGGTTGAGGATGAGGCGGAAGGCAAAGTAGAAAATGGGGTTAATAAGGGCAAAGATGATATCGGAAAGCAAGATTCAAATGAGGATCATGAGGGAGATGACGATGATGATGGAAAGGACGAAGAAGACGAAGAAGACGAAATCGATGAAAATAGAGAGCAGTGGGAGAAGGCTCTTCAGATCCGAGAGAAGCTTCGTGAATATTGTATATCTCCTCTTCCCTCAAATCTCCTTACCATCAATTAGAATATCTCCACATATTTCAGGGCTACAGTCGGCTAAACCATCCTTCCTCTCGCAGACGAACATCTGAACCAACAAATATACATCAACAATCTTCCATCGCCAAGGGAGCATGATCTAGGCTTCCTTCGAAAATGGCTCGAGCGCCCCAAACTTGGCAACTACCCCCTTTCTAGCCGAGACAAAGACAGTTGGTCAGAGCAACACGGAGACGATCTTCTCGCTTTGCAACGAAAAACATCAAGTGATCCGTTCTCAAGGTGGATGATATGGTCTTGCGTTCCATATCTGCATCGCAAATTTCTCAAACATTTCAAGCGGCCAATCTCAAAAGACGGGAACGACAATCTTACCCGGCCACAACAAGCTCAGTCGACAGTTCGAAAGTCCGGGGCGAATATTGTCGGTAGAGCTAAAATTACTAAGTGGTTCTCGAGAGATACAGTTCCAGCCACAGTGAAAGAAGCTACACGAGCAGATACGTTTAACTCGAGCAAAACTTTAGTTGCCGAACACAGTGATCATCATGCAACAATATCGCAAATAATCACTGCATGCACATCATCCGATGGAACCACAGAAACAGAAATGATATCTAAAGATGTAGAAAAAGCAAAAGCACCACCCCAAGAATCTCCACCCATTAATTCCGACGACTCGGACGCCTTCGACGGTTCCCAAATCTACCTCTACGAAGACGGAAGAATAGTCAAAGCCGTCAATGTATTAAGCATCGTATTCGCATCCATGTTACCCATCACCAGTATCCTGGTATTATATTTCGTATCGGAGACTCTTGATCGTCTGGTCATTGCAGTTGTTTTTGAAGGCCTGTTTGCATTTGCGTTGGCGATGACGACGCGTGCTTCGAGGGGTGAAATCTTTGCGGCAACTTCTGCGTGAGTTTCCCTTTTGTTGCGTTTGTTTTAGTTGGGCTTGTGGTCTTTTTTGTGATGCTGACTATTTACATGAAGATTTGCGGCGGTTCAGGTTGTTTTTATGACGGGGAGTAATGGTTATATTGGGCAGTAGTACGTATGAGCTGGGAAACTCATTGCGGTTGCTGATTGCTGTTTGCGGTTTGTAGGGCTGACTTCATTGCACTGTCATCATCATCATCACTTACATTGCATTGATTGCATCCTAGATCTATCCTAGCCCCAGCCCAATCTACCTTTGAATCCCTATACACCGTGACAATTTCAATTTCAATTTCAATTTCAATCCCATCATTGTATCTTGTATCTTGATCTCATTATCTCGTTCTCTCATTCTCCTATGCTTTCCTATTCCTTCCTATTCCTTCCTATTCAAGGGTATAAAGCTCCGCAAACATCGCAAACAATTCCATACACCACCGATACTCAACTCAAGTAGCAAGCAGTGCATCCATCCATAAAAACCCCCAAATCACTTACATACAGTACAGTACAATGCCAGCCAGTACGTTCCAATCGACATCCCCGTCCTTCTATATCTCTCTCTTTCTGTATTGCTACTGTTTCCCACAGTACCGTATCGCGAACTCCATCTTCTCGTGTATATTCTTTATATATACGTTTCCGTAAAATGTGTCAAAGTGTGTCCCAAAATAAACTCCATTTCCATGCTCAGATACATCCAATCGACCAAATAAGTCCTGTCGGTTTGAGAGGAAACCACAAACGAATGTACGAAAAGGAACGATGTCCAACGCCCGCTATGCACATTGTATGCCTCGTACCATGTATATATGTACCGTTACTCAGTTATGAGTATAAATGTGCTGCCTGCGCCCACCGATTAAATGCTCCATTTTATTTGTACCATTATTTTCATACGCGTGTTGATTGTGTTATTCGTAAAGATTCTATCGAAGAAGAATCATGCTCGGGTGCCAATTTTGACAAAATAACCATGTCAGGTGTTTTAGGTATATTCCCAAGATATTTCATATGGAGGTAGTTCAAGACCTTGCCATTTCTCGCCGTAAGGATTTGTGCGTGAAGCAGAGAAGAACCCATCGTGTGCTATCTGGATAACGTTAAGCCACGAAGATGGTTCGGGATTTTTGTACCACTAGAATTATTAGCAAGGGGCCATCAACATCAATATCATGTGAACCTACCTGGTTATGAATATGATATGTCCACGCGCCTCGGAAGAAATTCTCTAAAGTTCGATTTGTAGGAGGATATATGTCCTCTTCAAATTTGTACTCGGCTTTGCTCAATGCTGCTCGGTCGAGAGTCAACATTTCGAGACCATTTTCGGTTGTTGCTCGTTCCGCCGTCACTTCACGCTTCTCAACTTCTGCTCTCTCGACGGATCTCATTTCCCAAAAATGTTTTGACTTGATTGCTGAGGCAAGCTCTAATTGCGGTCCGTCATAACTTTCCCACTCATCGTGGTTTGGGAAAGCGTTCTTTCCCTTGAACACTTGTCCATAATCCTTGATACATGGTACTGTACATCTTCCTAATCTGTCCCAGTTGAATTCAGTCCAGATCGGGTCGAAAGCGGCCGTCTCCAGCATGTTGAATTCTTGGTTTCGACGGTCCTTCACAGCCATAACGCCGATGATTCGAGGATGAAAGTTTAGCCCCATTCTTACACCACCTCGTAAAAGGTAAGAGGACAGAGACGAATTAGCTGTTAAAGACATCACCGCCGTGTTGTAGTCCCCAGGACTGGAGTGACCCCCCCAACGTTCCGCAAACGCATGTTCATCTCCAATAAGTAATGGTCGCATATCTCGTAGCATGACAACGTCCATATCGTAGTAAGATCCTCCATATAAATGTAAGACAACAAATCTCATAGCATCCGAGACTGCAACCGGCAAGAAAGTCATCTGTCTTTCTGTTAAGATCAACCATTCCTGGTCGTTGGAGTCTCGAATAAGTCCATCTGCTACCATAACCTCATCATTGGCGTTTGGTTTGCCTGGGCTTTTGTAATATCCACGTCCGTCCGTGTTGTCTCCAGGTGGTAATGGAATTCTAGAGGGAAAGTTCCACAATTTCAAAATTATGTCCCCCCTTTCGACGAGCGGTACAAATCTCTTGAACAACGGATCCCGAGTCATAAACCTATCGATTGCATTTGGATCCCTATCCCCATCCAACCATATGAACAATCTGGAGCAAGGAAGATTTTGTGTATAAAAATAACTCTTTACGAAAAGCTCCACTCTCCAAGTCGCAGGGCCGGTCCAGTAGGTATGATATGGTATGATTGGGCCATTACATTGACCAGAAGACGATTTCGAGTAGCCTTTCTGCGATGGATATTGTTCTAAAGAGTTGTCCTGTCCATCAGAATTAAGATACTCTGCCAGTTTAGGGGGTTGTTCGCTCGCTCGTTCTCCTTGTGCCGGCATGTAATAATATTCCTTCTCGCCCTCGTCCATATATTTTAAACAGTCGAAAACGTACGGCATTTTCTCGAGTTTATTGTATGATCCCCTGCATTCCTCCACTAATTTTGTGAGGTTCGCAACCGTATCAACATGTGGTCGCTTCCCCAAATAATCGTCCTTTGGCACAACCAAACTCTCGGGTCTATTAAACCAATTCGCATTTGGGTTTATTTTTTCAATCTGTAGTGTCGCTGGAGGAGGGGGCACAGATCCAGAACCATGATCAGAAGGTAAATTGTGAGAAGCCGCAGGTTTCTTGTAGAGATCCGATGGCGATGTTGGGAGGGAGCCCTTCTGAAAGATGAGCACTGCCAAGTATAAAGTTCCGTACAATGCCAGCGCTGCAAGAATACTGTTTATCACTCCGCAGCATGCTTTTACCCAATTTCTTTTCGCCATTGTTGTAATTAAATTTTGTTGGTTGGTGGATTCGTTCTTATGTACGCGTGTCGAGGAGGGTTTGACTCAGGTAATTGCTGGGCGCAATTGTGTGAGGATTTATCTCAAGTTAAAGCCATTAAGAAGAGAATGGGTTGTTTGATAGTTTGTTAATGAAAGATGTTATGTATTGTCTGAATATGTAGGTAGGCTATACATGGTGAGTTTTTGATTAAGGCTGGGCCAAGTTGGACTTGATGCGAAAAAGTACGTAAAACATAGCCGTACTTACAAGGAGTGAATTTGGCATATAGATCAAGGATTTTATTTGTAGATTCTTTGTAAAGAAATCAAAAAGATGAAAAATATATTAAATATCTGTACTGAGAAATGAATTGTAAAATGAGGGAATTCAGAGATTTTGAGTGCGTTGCGTTTAGGAGGAAGGGGGTTGGAGAAAAGAAGCGTAAGGGGGAGAAGGGGGAGAAGGGTGAGGGGAGAGATTGAAGATTAATTATTTAGCTTGGTCGATCTTTCGAAATCTGGAACAGGATGAACCAATGAAAAACAAGGATTTTGGGTTCATGGCGATAGTACTAGTGTTAGAAAGTTTCTATGCAGTATTTAAAATTTGAAGTTGCGTGTACAGCATTTGGGTTGATACAGTCAGTACAAACAAAGGTAAAGAAGAAGTTCTGATGTATATCTAACTAGACGGATATCATGTTTCTATCAACTAAGATATGATTGTGTTGTCGCCAAGATGAGGGATTTATATACATATATGTATGTATGTATGTATATATCACTCGGTATCTAACTAGGTAGTGCTGTGGATTTTAGAAAGAAACCTCTATTTTAAATGTAACTAATTCTTATTTGTACAACTTACAATAGTATCTGTTTCTCAACGGGGCTGAGCTAATTTCCAAGATTTGGCTGTTGTGTTCTGCCAATAGTCTCGTCGATGGCAAAAGGTGATATAATATACGATAACAATATATTTGAGGTTGTTCACCAATTACCCAGTCTTCATATCTTGATTTTGCCTACTAGGTATTTCGTTAACCAATCATGTTTCATTAAAGACACCCCTTACTCCCTTTTTAGCTTTGAATATAAAACTAATGCAAGTGCTACTTCAAGGGCTGCTTGCTTGCACTGCCCCTGTTGCCCTACTGCTACCGTACTTGTTGTTCTTAATCGAGTTAGTTTCAGATTATTGGTCCAGGGGTTTCATTTTGATGGGGAAAATGATTTACTCGAGTAAGTTTCATATTCTCCAGATTCAACACAATGACAATGGCAGTACTCGTAGATGAATATCCACAATACAAACTACCCATCGGGCCAAGTGAGGAGGGAGGGAGGCAGTCAGTCTTACTGGCGGCGGAGTCGAGTATAGTACTACCGTCTAAACTCACTAACTTTGGATTTGCTTAGTCCTATTATAGAATAAGGTTTCGATTAGTAGATCTTAATTGTATATTAGTATTAGATTTTATTGGTTGATATAAAAATGGATTATATATCAGCATAGTGAGTTTAGACGGTACTGTATGAATATGTACCATATAGTACCTGGGCAGATGGACTATGCCATTTATTTATTAGGGCTTAGTATAAAAGTTAATTCGTCAAAACTAGCGTCTTGTTCCTTCCCCTTCCCCATGTCACACTAAGAAAATGCTTCTCCGTTTGTTCAAAAAAAGCTAAGCCGACTTTTCTTAATTAATACTCTTCCATCCATCCATTGCATTCAACCAAACCTCGTGCTTGAAACATGATATTGGCCGCCAAACAAGTTTATGCCGCATATTCATAAAATTATTCGACCGGTAGCACCATTGACTGACGCGTAGTTGTCGTGGTGTCGCCCAAACTTGGTGGCCGTGATCCCGTCTTTTTCGTCACGTTGAGGATACCTATACCTAGGTAGTTTGATACTGGTACTGTATTGTACTTGTAACATTCAGCTTCACGGAAATCACATCTTTGAACATGCGCGTACATGAATATGGATACAGTAATCGTACACTCTGTGTATTGATACGAGCTGTAACCAAGAGACGGCCGGTGCAAAAACCGAGGCAATTCGCAACAGCTGCATCGCTACATGTGGAAAGGTATGATATCAGATGTGGTATCTCGGGACAAATCACCATCGAGTAGGTTGGCACTTTACATTTTGTATTTATCCGCCTATTGATCCAGGGAGCTTTTGAGCAGGCACCCTGGCATGGGATTCCAAATTATTTTTTCGAAATTCTCGTGTCACGTGTCAAAGTGATCTAGTGATCTCCTTCACGGGCGTTATCCTCATGGCTTCGGGCAAGTTCCCGGCCAAGTCGACTTGCGATGAAGGTTTACCTACGAGGTAGATATTCCTAGATAAGAAGGGTTGTGATGTAAGTGTTCGTCATACAAGCGATAGGCGTAGCCATCATACCAACAGCTCAAGGGTTCGTTCTTATATAAATGTTCAATAATGGTTAGTGATGATATTTCTATAGCGTTGTTGGTGGTTGAGAAAGCCAAGCTAACTTTGTCCATACAGACTTCATAATGCAAATCTCCTTCGTAGTTCTCCCAAAATACCTCTAGTTATCTACCTTCCACCATATCCATCTTCTCCGCCACGACACCCGCCTTCATGGTTGTTGAATTCATATCCTGTCCTGAACATACCCTATCGCTGGTCTCATAAACCTAGCATATCATTTCGCAACCAAAATTCTCATGCATTTCCAATACCACGTAAGTAAATAATTTCAATCATGTCGTTTGGAAGTGCAGCTTTTTTAGCCTATTCGGACGATGTTCTTTGACTCTCTTCTGAAAGCTCACTACCCTCCACCACAGTTCATGATACACTTCAAGCCTACACTTGGCTTCTGACCCGTTACCTCCCATCTATATCATCCGAGCCCAAACCGTTGGTTGGGGTTCCTTCCTACTTCCCCACCAATCCAAACCCCACACCCACACAACGACCACTTTTGATCTATGGATCCTATCTTGGCGGAAGCCTTGCCACCTCTCTCGCCCTCACAGAATCCTTTGTCTCTTCCCAACTACCCTTCAAAATACATTCTCTCATAGTGCACAACGGAATCTTTGACTGGACCCCCATCTCAACTACATCCGGCCCCTCAATATATCCCTCTAAATCCTCTAATTCTGCATCACCAAATCCCTCTCTCCATCGCCTCTCGACCTCAGAATTATACCTTCGTTCTCCCTGGACAACTCCGACCCTCCACGCCCTCAAATCCCGCCTTTTTCCATCCCCCTCCCAAACATTCGACCCTTTCGCCTCCCCTCTCCTCTTCTTTCGCCGCGCTGGCATTGAAGTTCCAAATCGCTGGCCTATTCCACCTCCGCCCTCCTCGTCACCATCTCCATCTTCATCTCCCCCATTCTCTTCATCCCCACATGCATCTTCTACTCAAACTCCCACGTCCTCAGAACCAGGAAACGACTTCATTGATTTCGACGACTTCTCTCCTTATCTCGATTCTCCACCCCCAGATTTCTGGGAAGATCACCAATTTGTTTTCGAAGCCGATGAGAAACACCCCCACAAACGCCTCCAAGAATCCCGAAAATCAAACTTGATTTTCCCACCCCCGAAATCCACATTACAAATCCCAAGATCTCTATTCACATACTCCTCATCTGCGACCCCCTCTTCCTCTCCCTCTCCCTCCTCATCCTCTCATTCACGAAAAAATAAGGATGAGATAAGAGAGCCTGAAGATGATATATTCGCAACACAAGCTCAAGAAATAGCACAGGTAATGAGGAGGAGTATACAGATGCATGAATTGAGAGAAAGGATTATGTGGGATGAAGATTGTGATGCAAAGGAGATTGCTGGGGAGAGGGTGCAGAGTATGGAGATTGGGGATGAGGCCGGGGATGGGGTTGGGGATGGGGAGGGGTGGGAAGGACCGAGGGAGAAAGTGGTGAGAGGGTGGATTGAAAATGGAGGGTTGTGATTGTGATCGTGATTTGATGTAATCTTGGCGGGGGGCGGGGGGGTCTGGAGGGGTAAATGAGGATGGGGGCCGGCGTGGGGCTGGGGATGAGGTGAGCCGAATGAAATGAGGAGATCCTTCCCTCCCCCCAAAAATCTTTCATTACATGCATGGAGAAGCGTATATAAGATGTGATAACATCACAGATACGAAACCAAATCTCCATTAGAAGGGTCCTGAACGAGACTATAGATGTAGATGGTACTGTCTACAAATGTACTCTATTGTAAAACACAAGCAAAAGCAAAAGCATGAACAAAATCATAACCACAATGACTCGTTTACATACTCGTATAAGTAATCGTCGAGTCAGAGAGAGTTACAGGTTCCATTGGAGGAAGTTAGGCGTACTGCCCCATCGGATGATCAATGGTTCTACGAGTAGAGTTGCTTGATATTACTCAGTACATAACAATGTTATGAGTCGATTTATGGGCTGCTTTGATATAAAATAAAATGTTGAATCTGTCTATATTTATATCCATATCCATATTAATTTTATTTCCCATGCTGGTTTTGATTTTGTCTATTTGGGTTTATATCGGGTATATCTTTATCTATATCTATATCCATCATTCGTATCTATATCTAAATCGAAATCTTATATTTCCAATCGTCTACCAATCCCTCTGGTGTCTTTCTCTATATATCCATATCCATATTCACATCTCTAAGTAATCCACCCACCATCCCCATCCATCACATCAACATCAACATCCCCCTTCAATCCGCAACCCCTCTCAATTCGCAACCTCAAGCAGAAACCTCAATCTCCCTCCCCTCCCCCTCCCCATCCTTCACCTTAACCTTCTGCTGAAACCCATCCTTCTCCCACCCAATCTCAGCCGTCATCCTCAAATTCGTCTGTTCCTCTCTCGACAACGGTTTTTCCGTTCCCTTTCTCCTCTCTCTACTCTCTTTCGTTTCTTGCACTGATGCGTTGGCATCACTGTGATCGGAGTGATCGGTGTTTGTGAAGTGGAAGGAGCGGAATTCGGTGTTGGACCAGCCGGTGCCGACGAAGAGGGTGGAGTCTTCCCACTGTTTGGGGTGGAGATGTTAGTGGTATGTCGGTTTATTTGATGGGAATAGGAAAGGGTAGATTAAGAAGTAAGTGAAGGAAGGGCAAGGGGGATGAAGAAACAGATATACGTACATCATCAGTAAAATAATGCAAAAAGCCTCCATGCGTCACAACTACGATTTGAACATCCTGGACCCCCTCTTTCTCCGCCTGAATCCCCAATTGCCTCAACCATACCCTGGCATTTCGTGCCCGCTTCTCTATCGCTGGCGCATTGGAGTCCCATCTTCCTTTTTTACTATTCCAACCCGGAGTCACTAATCCAAGATCTACACTTCCTTCGAATTCTTCCGCCAGCGCAGCGGGCTCAGACTGCAGGGTTGGGAAATTAGTAATTGATTTTCAAGGAAAATTTTTAATGAAAAATGCGGAACTGGAGTAAGAGAGCAGGAACCAGAATTGGGCCTTGAGACCACAGAACTGAATGAATCGAATAAACTTACACCAGTATCGCAGGGTAAAGGGGATGTTTCCTGAAGTTCCGGCAGGGCAATGACTTTGATACCGCGAGAGATGGCTTCCGGGAATGAATAGAGGGCGGTGTATAGAGTGCGTCGAAGAGGGGAGGCCACGATGTGCGTGATGATTTCGGGATGCGGGAAGGATTGCGAAAGGGTGAGGCATTGGGTTTTACCTGTTTCGGTGAGGAGGGGATCGGGGATGGCGTGGTTTTCGGTGCAGAGGTTGTGGTAGCCTTGGGCGTGGCGTACGAAGTGGAGGGTTATGGTCATGGTGAAAGGATTGGATTGGTTTTGTTTGGTGTGTTGGTAGAGATTGAGATGTCAATGTCGGGTTGTTGCTGGTCTATCGTTGATGTTTGTAGAAGAGAAGGGAAAAAGATATATAATGGAGGGGGAAGAAATTGTGTATATATATGCAAAGAAAAGATGCAGGTCTCTGATTTTCAATTCCTTCTAGACTAATTGATATTAGTAACTGGTAATTAACAATCTAATAGGTAACCTTAAGCAAACGAAGTAAAGGAAAGATAAGTATAAGGTAGGTAGGTAACTTAGCCGTGTGATAAAAAATGACTCTTACATGCGAATCTTCTCATGAAGGAGAGAAGTTTGTAAGAATTTTGGCGGCGGACCAATAATGAAATGAAACCAATGACGTGGTGGGGTTGCATACTGGGAAGGTAGGCCGAGTGTATCACGTGGGAGTGTGTAAGGTTATATTGACGTGTGAATCTTTCGAGTACATCAGATGAAGTATATTTGAGGAATGAGGGATATCTATTGTGAGGTCTTTGGTCTTTCGTCTTTGGTCTTTCTCTCTTGGTAGTGTCTTCTCCAGCATGATACTCATGTTTATCTTCAACTTTCCTCAATAGCTGCACTAATATAATAGCCAGCAGTTTACATTGAACCAGGGACATTTGATATAAAATGATATATCCTCCGAAGTGACCAAACCATCACTACTAAGTTTAACGACGAGATACTTCCATAATCCACGGCTTTGAAAGTTTGTTTGAAGCGAAGCGACAAGTAACACTCATATCATACCTTACCTTACCTCACTCTAAATGAAGATACTCGAGATGGGTTAACGTTGATGGGCTTCTTTTCACTCTGCGCTGCAGTTGAAGCCAAGAATGAAGGAAGTGGGTTGTTGGTTTGTTCCTCGCACAATATGTCGTCGAAGTTTCGCTCTAGCTACCCAGATCATCAATTATTGAAATGGGGCTTGGAAGTGTGAGGCGACCATGGCTCAAAGGGTTGGAATAATTGGCTATGTGGTGAATGCCTAGCGATATTGGAGAGGTGGTCGGTTGGTTTCAATGTATGACTATGGGTGTAATTCTATGTTCCCCAAGTCTTGTCTGGTCACCATTATTCGTAGTAGTAGAAAGAGATATCATGCTATCACCATTCAATCAATCAACCAAGTATCATCAGTATTCATTGTATCATATTCCATCGATGCTATCTAATCCCCCCTGTATCAGTGTATCAGTGTATCAAGACACACCAGTTATCCCTCCAAGTATCTGCATCAACCACACGTCACGTTGATCTTCATAATTCTAATGTGTACAATTTGTGAAAATTCCCCAAGTGCAAGTCCCATATGTCCAACCCCACTATCTATTCATCAAAAGCAACCAAATTCCCCGCAAATCCCTCCCAAATCCACCATAACACACTGAGAACAGACCAAGCCACCAGGACACACCAAAAGCGTACCAATCTGAGATCACACCCATAGCATAGCACAGGATGAACCACCCAAAAAAGAAATCAGCAAATGCATCTACCAGAACCCATCATTGATATCAAGTTCTATCGCACGTGCCTCTGGCACCGTGATAAGGCGAACTCGAGGTGGGGCCATACCAATACGACCCTGATAGGCTTCATTGATGGCAGCAGTGGCTTTTTCCATGACAGCAGCGGATTTTGGAAGGTACTTGGCGGAGTGCTTAGCCGAGTCGGAGAGCCAGAATTCGATTCGAATGGCAACTGGGAAAGCAACGAAAAGATCTTTGGCCAAATCAATCAACTTCTTGACGTTGCAAACTTTGTAGTAGGTGAGAGACACTCTCTGGACAACATCTCCACCCCAAGAAGGAACGTTGCTAGCGCAAAGATGAAGATCCGCTGCAGAATGGGAGAGAAACAAGGTATCGAAAGTCGCAGAGAACATATCGCAACCGAATAAAAAGCTGCAAGTGGTATCTCGTGATGATGCTTCCTCCGATTCTTTGTTGGCTAACCACAATGGTGAAGGAGAGGACTTTCTAAAGAAGATACCAGGACCTCCTGTAGTATGGACGGTATGGAAGTTAGGCTTAACTATAAGCTGTCTCCCAGTTCGAACTGCGAAGCCCCAGATCTTCAAGCGCAGCTCTGTAGGAAGCGCGTCGAAACAGTGGAAAGTGTCATACTTTGGTTTAGCCTTCTCTGAATCATCGTCGGCCTTGAGCTTTGCGATTTCGTGTTGTGTCACCTGACGAAATTGATGGAAGATGTCTGGGAGGGAACCGATGTAGATAAGAAAGTCCTCTCTGGTTTGAATATTCAAGGAATATGCCCAATCAAGGAGCTGGTCGTAAGTGAAATACTTCAAGTGGCCATCTGAGTGCATTTGTTGAAACCATTCGATACCCTGCTTCTTTGTTGGAGAGCCCCAACCAAAGTGTTGCAAAATGTAATTATTGCGGAAAGTCTCATCGCTCAAGCGAGGATTGCCTTTCCATACGATAGCTTTGACGACCGGAAGAGTCTCTGGCACCTCTGAGGGGAGATCTTGGTGGAGAAAGCGGCAATTCTTATAACGACAGCCACGAGGAGATCGATAGTATTTGCAAGCCTGTTTCTTCTGAGTCTTCTTTGCCGAGGCCTTTGGAACGACTTTGATTGGTGCAGCTGAGGCAATAGGAGCGCGGTAAGCGACGTTGTTGTTACGACGATTGATCTCAACTACTTCAGCGAGAATGTGTCGAAGAGGTTGGTGGTGAAAGCTGATGAAAGTCATTTTAAAAGAGGAGATGATGTTAACGCAAGTAAGGTAAAGGAAAAGGTATGAATTGTGACTGTATCCCGAGAGTATCTCTGATGAGTCTTATGTAGGATGACCTGCGTTGCAGAAAATAGGAAAACGAAACAATGATTATCGAATGTTTGAACAAACTTGAAGAACAACCCGCCAAGAATTGATAGAACCTTGAAGTTATCTGGAAAGAAACAAGTGGTTTATGAAATTGTGGTGTATCAAGTGTTTCGTTGTCGCTCGTTTCGATGTCTTTATTGTCAAGGAAGTAGAAGAAGACTCAAAGGAAGGAAAGAATATTTATAAGGAAGTCGGAATTGTACCGAGAAACAAAGTCTATTGTGTGTGGCGCGGCAAAAAAACCAGTAAGCGGAACAATAGGAATGCGCTTAAAGAAGCAAGTTTTTCTGGTTGTCGTAGAAAATTAATGAGGGGGTTAGGAATTGTTTTTGGCATTTCTATTGTTCTCGATTATTGTGTTGTTGAGTATTCACTTTTGGTTGAAGTTATTTCAATTGAGAAGTGAGGAGGGGATCGATCTCGGTTAGCGACGTTGACCTTCACTAAGATAGAAACCTTGTAGTTGCCCAATCGCCCAGTCGCCCTAATCATCCCGTTTTCCTAGTTAAAAGCCAGCTTTCAAACTTTCAACAACTCAATATACCTATAGTCAAAAGTGCGACTCAAACCAAACAATCAGACGAGACCTGACGAGTGAGTCATACCAGTCAGTACCAATCACCATGTAGCTCAATCACTTATTTCCGAAGTGAAGTCAAAAAAGGCAAATGAAGGCAAATGAAAGCAAATGAAAAGAGGCATTAAAGTAAGACCAATATGCTTAATTCAACACCAGTATCAACAGCTTGTGGATGATGTATGTACTGGTATGGTGAGGAGTGAGAAGTGAGAAGTGAGAAGTGAGAAGTGAGAAGTGAGGTGAGGTGAGAAGTGAGTAGTGAGGTGAGAAGTGAGTAGTGAGGTGAAGTGAAGAGTGAAGAAATGTAAAAAAAGTATCAGTTACATGCGGTGCCAAAGACTGGGATGGGAGGCTCTACTTCGAATGCTTCTGCTGCTCATTCATCGGTAGTGAAAACGAAAGTTGTTCATCCGATGGGTTGTATCCGGAAGGGTTCAGATGTTAGTGTGCCCGTTTGATTGCAAGATTGGGAATCTGCGACCCATCCGCCCAATCCAATATGAGAACAATTAGGAAAGAGCCAGTTGATTCTTGATTCTTGATTCTTGATACTCAATACCTAGGTACTCGATTCCCCATGTGCTGACAAAAAAAAACAAGGCCGTTAAAGTTACCCACTTACTTTGCAATTGTCCAATTCGCAACGAAAAAGCCAATACAGCATCATATCATCATAACTCAACGGTTATGATAGCTCACTCTTAAAGAAATCAAGTGGTGTCTCAAAAAATGAAGCGCTTAAATGAGTCTAGTTGATCATGAAACCCTTAGTCTATTTTACTATGGTATTATTTTCCACTCTAAAATTCATTCTCATCATTTCCAGCAATGATGACGTTATTGATCTTCAAAACCATACGACAAAGTTGGGTCGCCAACATCAATTGTTGTTTCTTACCAATCAATGGATCGATAACGAAAGCATCTCTCATATCGTTGCTACCGGTTTGCATACAATCAACACCTAATCTTGTGTTCTTCTCGGTGGCTTGTCGACTCTTGACAGAGGCAAGAGTTTCGATCGATGAGAGACCCGAGTTTTCTGCTAGAGCCATTGGGATTGCGTCAAGGGCATCGGCAAAAGCACGCATAGCGTATTGTTCAAGACCAGGTGACTTAACAGCGGCATCCTCGACGGCCAAGGAGCATGCGATTTCTGCCGCACCACCACCGTAAACAACCCGATTGTCTTTAACGAGGTTACGAACAACACATAAAGCATCGTGAAGAGAACGTTTCGCCTCATCGATGATCTATTCTACTAGTTAGCAATGTCATAAACAGTTCAATAATGTAGTGCAACATACCATCTTGTTGCTTCCTCTAACAAAGACTGTGACGGCACGAGTGTTCGCACACTCTTCAATGACCAACATCTTCTCTCGGGTGGTACCAAAGCTCATTTCTCTGACTACTCCAGCTCTTCCGAGTTTCTCCGCCGATAAATCCTCAAATCTTGGTACAATTCTACCATTGGTTGCAATGGCAATTAATTCTATCTCTGGACCTCCAACCCATCTCACGGCTGGTAATTGACTTTGTAATAAAAGATGGTTTGCTTCATCATCAAATCCCCACTGGCATATAACAAGATTGGCACCAGTATCCTTGATTTGTTGAACCATCTCGGTAAACTTGTCCTTTTCGTATGTTTGTAGTTTCTTAAACTCTTCAACAGAGGTGATATCGAGCTTATGCTTGGTCTTTGGCTTGGGTGGTTCAAAGGCACATGTGAGAATAGCGATCTTGGCGTCTCGAACTTCATCGGGCATCTGAGGGTGGGAAAAGTCTTTATCGACAATAACACCTTGAACCAGTAAAGAATCCTCGAGAGATCCACCAACCTTACCATCAACCTTAATTAAGTCGAAGTCAACATCCTTGCGCTCTAAATCTGCAACAGATAGGATGGCATCGACAGCAATGTTGGCAAATTGATCATGGGCCTTGGAGACGATTTTGCTTCCCAAACTTGTCCTTGCAACCTTGACCAGATTCTCTTTGTGTGTTTTTGTGAATTCGATGGTATCGGCGATTCTATCCAGCTCCGCAACAGCAATATCACAAGCCTGGTCATACCCATCAGCTATCCGAATAGGATGAATTCCCTTGTCGATGAGTTCGGCAGCTTGTTCTAACAAGGCACCGGCCAAAACTACTACACCAGTTGTACCGTCACCGATTTCGTCATCCTGGGATTTGGAGAGTTCGACTAAAAGCTTTGCAACGTGGTTCTGAATCTCCATCTGTCCCAAGATGGTAGCACCATCGTTGGTGACTGTGATATCGCCATCTGGAGAAATAAGGATCTTGTCGAGGCCTCGTGGTCCGAGAGATGTCTTGACAATATTGGCCACCGTTCTGGCTGCTAGGATATGTGATTTGACGGCCTCGTTACCATGTTGTCTCTTTTTCTTTCCCTGACTGCAACATCATCAGTACATTTACTTTTGAGCAAGAGTAGTATAAGTATTTACTCTCGAACAACGATGAAAGGTCTTCCTTGTTCATCCTTTATCACAGACGCTACAAATCCCTTGTAAGTTTCCAGAATGATTTGGCAGAGTGTACAAATACAACTTACCCTGCGACATATCAATATCTACAAAGCGGGGTGGTTAGCAGAAGCTCTATAAGACTTGTGCTCGGCGGGAGCAGGTAAAAACTTACTCATCGCCATGTTTGAAGATGTGCGAAGTTCTCTGGATCGGATGGCTCCTTAAACAAAATGCAGAGGTATCGAACAAATAAAATAAAACGCAGAGTATTTCGATAAACTTCTTCCCTGATCCAGCGCGTTTAAATCAACAGTCGCGTTTATTGAAAGCTCTTCGTCTGCCAAAAATTATCTATACAGCCTCAGGTTACCAGTTCACTAGCCACGCTTAGTAAAAATCACCCCGCATCAGCCACATCATTCTGAACTCTATGAACTTTTTCAAATCTGGCCAAGGTCGTCTTCCTTTTGTCACTAAATCTCATAAAGTACTCGATGGAATATTATTTAACCTCTAATTTGATTGCTTTCAATATACACACCCAATCACGTCCTCATTTGGAAAGACAGTACAATGGCTCCGATACACATCTACAGTAACAATTTCACCAGCTGCAGGTGCTTATGCTAATACCGGTAATTGATTATTTGCATTGGAGCAAGATCTCATTAATATCCCTCCACAAACTTTGGCCTTTGGACGACTGCTTTTAATCTCGGAAAACATATCGTTCGACCTCCCTCTTAGTCTCGGTGGAAATCCATGAAGGGCAAAAGGTTCTCCGAGATACTTTCTTTACTACGAAGTTATGGATATCATTATCAAAAAATACCAAAACTCCAAACTATCTCCATATATCAACCTATCTATACTCTAGATGAGAATGCTATATAGATCTACTCACTTTCATCTCGTACATCTACCGATACTAATTTTTATACTATACAACAAGGGCCACAGTGAGTTTATCACTGAGCGTCACCCAAGAACATTTAAGCGGAACTTCACGGAGTAGGTAATATCTTTGGAAGAAGAAACAAACGTTCCCGTCTGATAGATTGCCCAAAGGGGCTCCAATAATTACATGAACACTGAATTCAAACAACGAATTGCTATAGAAGCAAACACGTCTAATAAGCTTTGGAAGTGTATATCCGAAACACGGCTCTCGAATAACAATGCTACTCTTTGTTGGGATGTACGCTTTACAATCTGAGGTCTGGAGTGCTTATTGATTTCAAGCAAATTCTCAAGATATCTACTCGAGTAGACAGAATGAGCGGATGATTATATCCATTGTACAGCCATGTTACTAATCGTGGGTGGTCCCTTCTATAGTTCATCCCCTATAGCATGAGCGCCTTCATATTAAAGCTATATAAGGGGCCATCCACGATTATGTTATGCTGACATGTTTGTCACCAATACTCCGTAACTATCAAACGGAGGAAATCTCAATAAAAGCAGCAGCACTAATATACCTGTCTGCATTCAGGGGAATACCGAGAAGCATGTCTAAGTCTGGCATATAACCGCCTTTGAGTGGGTCGAAGTTTCAGATATTTCCCCCTCTCTCATATATGAAATCGTCAGTAGGAACATTCTTTTGATTCCACATCTAAACAAATTAGTGTTGTTTAATCTCAAGGTTCCTTCAACTGGTTACCGTGAAGTGATTTTAACTTCACCAACATGGATTCTATGATCCTCAATAGGCTTATCTCCTGATCTCACCAAGGTTGCGTAACCCTTTAATTCCCCCAAGTTTTCCTCTTCATTGACTTGTTGCATGGGTATATACTCTAGCGAGTACATGGTTGATAAACATATAGGGAAGTTTAGTTCCAGATCTTTCAATGGTTAGGATCTTTTATTTTTGACTTCTCTTTTTCCAATTCAAACGCAGACGTGTCTGCCTTTCACTCTTTTTAAGCTTTGCCATCGTTTTTAGTTGTTACCATCATCCACTCGTTCATTCATTCAATCTTTTTTGTACCATCTTCAAAATGCAATTCAGCACATTATCAGCCCTTGCGGCAATTGTACTCCCAATTTTAGTATCGGCACAATTGACTGGTACAGTCGGTCCCTTGACCTCGAGAGAATCTAAGGCCACAAAAGTGTGTAGCGTTCTGGATTATGGTGGTGTAGCAAGCAAGACTTCAGATATTGGCCCGGCGCTTGCATCTGCCTTTGCAGCTTGCAAAACTGGTGGAACAGGTACGTAGTCTAAAGTCCACAGCCATTAACCAAAGTCTTACAAGTATACAGTTTACGTTCCTCCTGGAGATTATGGTATGACTACCTGGATTACACTCAGCGGGGGCTCAGCATGGGCACTTCAGCTTGACGGTATCATCTATCGTGTTGACGGAGGTGGTGGAAATATGATCATGATCAAACACACCACCGATTTCGAGATGTTCAGTAGTACCTCTGCAGGTGCTATTCAAGGTAATGGTTATGAATATCACAAATCCTCGACTTATGGTCCTCGTCTCCTCCGATTCTTCGACGCTACCAACTTCTCTATTCACGACATTGCCTTAGTCGATTCCCCTGCATTCCACTTCACACTTGATACTTGCACGAGCGGAGAAATTTACAACCTAATTATTCGTGGTGGTAATGAGGGAGGTCTTGATGGCATCGATGTCTGGGGAACTAACCTCTGGATTCACGATATCGAAGTTACTAACAAGGATGAGTGTGTTACTGTCAAGGTGAGTCTTCAATCGGCAAAGCTGTTGTAGATCTATCTAACCATGCTATAGAATCCTTCCGATCATCTTCTCATCGAAGACATCTACTGCAACAGCTCAGGAGGTTGTGGCATGGGTTCCCTTGGAGCTGACACCGCCATCTCCAACATTATCTACAATAATGTCTATACTTACGGATCCAACCAAATGTATATGATCAAATCAAACGGTGGTAGCGGAACTGTCTCTGACTGTCAATTCAACAACTTCATCGGTCGCTCCAACGCCTACAGTTTGGATATCAACGCAGCCTGGACTCAAGCATCCGCAGGCGCTGGTGATGGAGTCATCTACGAGAACCTATCCTTCAACAACTGGAAGGGGACCGCCACCAGCGGCACCCAACGTGGACCCATCAACATCCTCTGCAAATCCACCGCTCCATGCACCAACATCACCATCACCGATTTCGCCATCGGCACTGAATCCGGCAGCACCGAGAAATATGTCTGCCAGAATGCGTACGGCTCCGGGGGATGTCTAAAGGACGACACCGACTCCCCATCTGCATTCACAACAACCATGTCTCTCTCCGCCGTCCCAACCGGTTACAAAGCTTCAACCATGGCTCAAGATTTAGCAACTCCTTTCGCCTTGACTGCAAGTATCCCTATCCCAACAATTCCAACCTCTTTCTTCCCAGGTAGAACTCCTGTATCCGCACTCATGGCCAATGGAGGTGGATCCAGTTCGTCGGTTTCTGCTTCTCACGTAGCTATCACCACTTCATCTACAGCTGCCGCTTCCTCTTCAAAAGTCGCAGTAGCCACTTCAGCCACTTCAACCGCAATCGCTCCGTCCTCAAAGGTCACTGCCACTTCAAGCGTCAAGGCTTCTTCTTCTTCTTCTTCGTCGGCAGTCGTCGCGTCCAGCAAAAGCACCCTTCTCACCCAAGCTTCCAGCTCTGCTCCAGCTACATCCGCCGATGCCTCTTCAACTTCCCACGCAGCCTCTAAGCCAACTGGTTCAAATGGTGGCGGTAGAGGTGGCAAGGGTAATGATATTTCTTCGACCACTAGCTCTGTTGCTGCTATTGCAACTGAGTCTGCAGATGATGAATGTGAAGTTTAAGTGCCGATCGGGTATTCAGGTGGCTGGAGTTTATGAAGAAGGAGGGCAACACACTGCGTAATGATTGAAAAGGAGGGACGAAGATAGATTCATTGTATCATAGTTAAATACCCATCTTGATTGTAAATATTTTAATGAAAAAGACACTCTTCCTGCTGCGCCATTGAATGGGGCGGGGGATGATTCATTTCGTTCCTTACATATTTATATTTGAGTGGGCAGTGTTTGATCTATCGTGTTACTGACTCAGGAACCACATACCATATAACGCTAATACAATACAACTCGCCATTTAAAAAGATTCATGATAGACAAAAGAGTGTTTCATGCCATGCCATGAGGACCATATTCTAAACGAGGACATGCAATGCAGTACTCCGTACAATTCATACTAATAAATTGAGACCATACCAAACCAGACTGAGCCAAAACAAACAACGCCTATATGTACCAACAAATGCAATATGCACAATTTCTTAATCCCTTCCTCAAAATGTCGATACCGATCTGCTAATGCCATGCGTATATACTCTAGATATTTATATCAAGCCCCCATCTCCATCTACATATCCCTCTCCATAAACCTATGCCAATCTAACCTTCATCCGATAATCCTACACTACCACCCCCCTCTCCTTCCACCCACCCCTCCCCTTCCAAGCCCAAACCCAAAACCCGATTCCAATCCCCACACTCCCTGCCATTCCCCAGAACGTTCCTTCGTAACAGCTTCTTCCCCAACAAAGTACCCCATCCCCAATAAATTCCTTCCACAGTCCCTCCGCCACTCTCTGATAAACTTGACTATATATCACACCCCACAGCGTAGCGCCTAGCGCCGGAACCATCGCCACGATTCCCCAATTGGTGCCAAAATTCTCTACACCCCAGATAACCGTTACGATGAGCGGGGTTAGAGAGAATAGAGCGCCGTAGCCAGAACCGATCAGAGCAGAGATGATCCAGAAGCGATCGGCGTGGTCTTGACAGATACCCGAAGCAAGGAGAACATCGCCTGATAGGATGAGGAGAGCGGAGAGGACAAGGAAAGTAATGCGAGATATGGTAACACGGAATCTCCGTGGTGGTGGTAGAGAAGCGAGAGAGTTGGAGAGAGAACCAAAATGATGGGTTGTGGGAACAGGGGCTAGCACATCGGTGAGAGTACCGAAGAGGATACGAGCGATGGTCGAGGTAAGTGCCACGACTGAAACGTGTGTTGCTGCTGAAGTGGGATTATGAATAGTAGGTGGATGAAGCGTGCCGATTATAGTACCCAGGTTCGTGATGAAGGATTCGCCGGGTCCGGAGACGAAGAAAAATCCAATAGCCAACCACCACATGGTGTGATCTTTGAGGAATCTTCTCGTTTCCTCGTTTAACAACCATGTTTTTTTCCTCGCTTCTTCATCTTCTTCGTCCACATCACTCTGTTCCTCTCCATCTAAAGTACCATATCCTCTCCCAGTATATCCCTCCCCATCCCCAAGTAACCCACTCCTCTCCAATTCCTCCACCGCCTCCTCAATCAACTCCTCCTCGTCCACAATCTTCAACAATCCAAACCCAACAATTCCCACCACCAAAAGCGTAATAGCTAAAAACCAAAAGAATCTCCCCACATCCACATCCCCCCTCTCACCATTCCTCCCCCTCTCATACAATATCCTCTCCCCCACCTGACTCTGCCACATCCCACTCAACCCAAACGCCGCAATCGGACACGCCAGCGCCAAACCCCTATATTTCGATTTCCCAAAATTCTTCGCGCACGCCGTCACCGCACTAATATACATACACGTAGTCGCCATGCCAATAACCATAAACGCAACCACCATCCAAACAATGGGCCAACCCCTCTCCACAACATAACCCTCCACATCCTTCCCACCACTCTTATACGTCAGCGCCGCCAACCCATACCCAACCCCAAACATAATGCCAGCCCCGAGAGACAACGGCGCAGGTCCCACTCGATCGCACAGATATCCAAACACGGGCACCGGCAAATACATAGCGAGTTCCGCAGCAATAATCACAAGATTAACCTGTAGTTGCGTATAATGCAATCGTGATTGGAATAAATGTCCATAAAGTGAATAAGCGGTGATGGAACCGGCGCAAAGACATGAGAGGATGGCGGAGGCGTATGAGGTGTAGCGGATTATGTTTTGTTTTCGAGCTTTTTGGTAACGGAAGGTAGAGGAGGACTCGGATGGGGATCGTAGGGAGGAGGACGGGGAGGAGGAAGAGGAGGAGGTTCGAAGGAGGGGGGTGCGGGTTGTGGGCGCCATGGTTTGGTACCCGGGTTGGTGTAGGAATCTATGTAAGATGTAAGGACATTGAGGAAGTCTTGAATCAAGATGAACTCTCCAGTATCAACAACAAGACAAACCCTAAAGGATCAAAATCAAAACGATCTCAACAAGCCTGCTCAAATCTCGATCTGCCCTTTCTTTTTTTAAACAAATAAACTCTGCAGAGTAATATTGTGTGATATGATATGATATTGTATTGTGAATATCAATATCACGATACAATGAGCCAATTATTGACCTTACCTACTCAGTACTTCGAAGCTATCAATCAATCCCTGAACAAGATCCCAATGGCGAATTTCGGCCTCGGCTTGGGTACGCCCGTAGATCAGATTAGCTCGAGGTTTTCGATATTTAAGGTTGTTGTGTGTGTATGTGCTTCTGGTTTTTTAACAATCTTCAAATACAGTAATGTATGAGTATTATTATAAAAACATTTTGGTTTGACTTTGATTCAAATTGACTGTCTAGCTAGCTATTTACCGGGTGTATTTCATTTCATCTAGAAAGCTAGGTATCACTACAAAGTGATGATATCTGGATAAATAAATATCTGCACGGAAGAACTTCGGCATACGGAATTCACATCTCACGGTTATTATCTGGTAATGAAATTTATCATATTCATTTTCTCACAAGTACCTAGTCAGTCCTGCGTATTGTAGCTTTCAGAATATGATTAATGTTGATTGTGAATTCAATATTGAAGGAAGCTCAAAAGCTACTGGAGCGGGGATAATAATAACACACAAAAACAACATCTCCCATCCCCCCATTTACTATCTATCTGATAATCCAACGATTTCTATATATGTATATCATCAAAAGGTATCAAGCCTAACGCCTTCAAAATGCCCAATTCAACCATCTATATTCAAGATTTCACTGCGCCAATCCCATGCTTTGAAATTCGCATTCCGTTCCGTCCGTCTATCCCATTAAATCGTCTAATTCTATCCCTCTCAATGTACCCGATCTCTGTGCTGCAATAAGTGCAATCTTCTCCTCTCCTCCCCTTCTCCTAGATGTGCTTGTGCTGGTGGATGTAGCGGGGTAAATCCCATACTAGAAAATGGATTCCTCCTCAGAAAGCCTGGTCCGTGATGTCTATGCGTGTCTGCATGTGCATGCGAATTTGTGTGCGAACTTGATTGTGATTGTGATTGTGAATGTCCATGTGAATGTCCCCCGTCCAATGGATGCTCATACGGTGTATTTGGACTGGTGCTCGCCAGTAACGTTGGGCTTGGAGGTGCTGAAACGGCAGAATCGTAGTTGGGTAGTGCTTCGGTGTAGCTCAATCCTCTTACAGGTGTTTTGAGAGCCGTGGTATAGGAAGGAACTTTGGTCAAATCTTCCAATCCCTCGTAATCTAAATGTTCGGGGGTATGATGTCCGCTGCTCAAGGTGGTACTAGTGGCATCTGTATGATGATCATCCGTGAAACTTCCCCGTCGACTAAGGGGATTACTCCTAGCATTTGTTGAAGAAGCAGATGGGCCTTGATGTGAATCGAAATAACCTCCCTGGTGGTCGTCTTGAGGGTGAGGGGTAGTTCCTCCAGATCCAGACCCTCCATACCGCCGTAAAAAGCTACTATTTCTGTGTCCAGAATTTAAGTTCGTGTTCAAATTTTGAAGCCTAGATGACAATGCTGCGGGAAGGACCGCACCGGCCGGATGTTGAGTGTTGTTCATGGAGGCAAGATTCTCCGATGAACCTGCACGGGACTGAGCATAAAAGGGGGTATTCATGCCAGATTGTGGCATAGGGGTCATTAATCCAGATTGGTCCATATCGGCGTAAAGTTGATCTAATACGTGCTCGCCATAAAGGGGTGGTGCATGTGTTGATACTGCGGCTGCCTGAGTGGTACTTGTTGGTGTCTGGTCCACTAGAGCACCCTCGGCAGTCAATGGCATATTCGGAGAAATGAATATCGTGACTGGTAATGTTGCGCGTAGCTATTGATGATCAGTATTTCTGCATGTGTTGAAGGTAATGAATCAAAATACCTCTGAAATATGCCCATCTGGGTTGTGTAACGCAATGTTGAATTTTACCTTGTGGCGGATTTTAATTCCATGGACGTCCACATCTTGTATGCATCTGCTCAACTTCTTTGGCAATGGCATAAATTCGGTCAATTTGAACCCGTCTTGTCCACTGTCATCGAGCATATCTTGATAATCCTCTTCTTCGTTCAATTCAAAGGTCCAGGCGTCCACATCTCTCGAATGCTTCCAATACCTGTCCGAAGTTGTAGAATTTCCTGGGAGTATGAATTCTTGTACTTCAATCAAATGGCACTTTATCTTGCCGATTTTCAAGCCCTTCAGTAGAGAGGTAAATCTCATCTCGACACTGATCGCAGTACCGAATACTATAGCCTTTTGTGGGATAATCAGCTGGTATTCGAGTTTGTTGGGCCAAACGTTCTCGACTGTCATTGCGTGGGCCAATTCTAGTGCTGAAGGATCCAAAGTTCGAACTATTCGGACCGGCTTCCAAGCATGTAAATCGTATGCCAATTTTCCTCTAGCAACTGTTGCCTTCAACTTGTAAATGATGTGGCTGTCGTGCAGCCCTTCTACACTCTCTGACATAGATCCTGGAATGACGAGCTCGAATGGCCATTCGTAATTGCCTGCCGGTAGAAGCAATCCCTTCGAAGAAGAACCAGGTCCTGCTCCACCTACAAATGGAGCCCATCGATGACTGAATATCTCGGTGATTTTGTCGACTCGATTATTTGAAATACCGGTAGGCGTAACACGTTGGTCGTTCCAACTGCAAATTTAAAGTCAGTTCTCCAATACTCGCAAATGGGGATCCATGAGAGAAACTCACCCAACTTTTAGTTGACCGGTCATACGAAGATGTACATCTTCAACTTTCAAAGCAGCTGGTAGACATAGGACTACCGACCCCTTGATCAATTGACTCGAAGCTTCATTTTCACCCCCTCGAAGTACGATAATTTCCTCGTCAAGACTAGACGATATTAGTATGTCATCGAGGGGCAAAATTGCTCATAAAATCGTAACATACCGTATCTCAAAGAGAGTCGAGACACCTCTTCCAGTAACCCCTCCAAAGAAACTAGGCATAACGTCCTATTATCTCGTATGTTCGTTATATGGCGTATAGGGAAGGAATGATTCGAAAAATATTTGCATCCAATGGGGAGAATCCCTCAACCGTTTCGTGTACTTATGAATATGTGGTTGTGAAGTTTGCAGTAGTGAATGAAAGAGAGCACAGAATATTAAGAAACAATTGTGCTTTCACTCGTATCAGTGACTTCCTCCCAAAGCAATTGCTATGTAAAAATAGAAGTAGTATGTAAATAAGTATAAAAAAATAAGAGAAAAAGAAACCTGAAATGATAACCGCCTCTTGGGCTATCTTTGATTGATCTAGTCCTTCTTTGTACCTATATTAAATAATCAGAGTTACCGGTATCCGCCCTCAGCCTAGTTTATTTTGTTCGCAATCTCTCTCCTTTCTTACTCTTTGAGTCTATTTTGCGTATCTCTTTCAATCAAAATCCAAAGGAATCCCACTTCGATGGTCCAATAATCAGTCAATATTCCAGTGGCTCAGGTGCGATTCAAGAAAATCCATATTTAAGCTGAGTAGATAGATCAAAGTGGCGCTTCCGCATGTCACAAATCGGAAGGGGGCTACTGTTTCTTCAACTTGCTTGGTATGAAGTGGAAACTTATTTTATAGTGGGGGTCAAGCGTAGGGAGAAACTTTTGTTGGTGTTCGAGAACTTTTTTCTCATCTTTTTGAAGTTAGCTGCTGTATCGAAGTACCGATATGGGTCGTATCCGTAAAGCTTGGCTACTATTAATCAATTAGACAAGTATAGATGTATAGATACATCCGAGCCTGTCTCTTGCAACTTGATACTGTATTTGAAATAAAGCTATTATATGAGACCTATACAGTTACTGCAAGTGTAAAACTAATGTGCTTATGTGTCATTAAGTAGATAGGCTGATAGATAGATAACTGCTAGAATCTATTCAATTATCAAATGATACTAGGATTCCCAAGGCTGAAAGGATTTCTTCCGGTTCTCGGATATGTACCCGGATACATCAAAAAAGATTCAAAAACTCAAAGTCGGGTACTGCAGGAAGGGTGGATATCAATAGGAGTACCTAGGTACATTTGAACCTTGAAAAGTTACCCGTTAAACAGCTGCAGCATACTCTAAAATCAGGTCAGATCAACGTCGAAATACCTATTGTAGTTACATAGCGTAGTAGTACTTGTAACTCGATGTAACTTGATGTAACTTGATATACCGGTACCCTACTCGGTCTGTGTTGACACGTGAAAGGGGTAGATATAAACATCTGAAAGAGAAAGTGAGACCTTTAAGATATGGCATGATCAAACCACATGAGCAAGAACCTGAAAATCGAATGTTTCATATGATAACAGCAAGTCATGGTTATCAACAACGGGCATCTGAGCAATGAGCATAATAGATAACCGATAGACTATAGTGAGTACCGGTACTATTGTTATCCCTTTATCATTTGAATGATTTGATAAGGATGAATCGTAAAGCGGGTTATGATACAGGATGATTTATTGTTCCGGCCCAACCCTAATCAACCAACTTCAACGTTTTCCTAAAAGAATTTAATAACTCCCGGTATTTGACCTTTCCTTGACAGTGGACACGGACTGAAGCGCCTACATCAAATCTTTCTCACACGTTTCGTTTCCTCGTCTACCAAAGCTAGACAACCGACCCCCTATATGGCATGGCCGCCTTCTCAGTGTTCTCACCAATATCGTAAATGGCTCCGCCACCGAGAATAGGCCGCTCATCCTAATCATTAATGTTCACAATTATCACATACGGTATACTGTACCCGCTCCGCAACTTCGCATGAAGAGGTTTATGAATCAGATCTTATCCAGGTGGCTCGAGTATGATTTGCACATTTCCCGCTTCGGCGGTGCCACTGCCACCGCCATATCTACTCCGTAGAAACCTAGAGGCTAGATGGCTGTATGGATCCGTACATGTCGTATCATCTTATTCAAAACATGAATCTCATAGTGCAAGATCCAACAAACGATTCCAACCAAACAGCTAAGCTGAAGAAAAAAAAACCCCCACTACGGAACCTCGACCTTGAAAATCCTGCGATAAGGTATTGAATTGCGTGAAAAGGATGATGAGGCTCAAGGATAACCACTTTTTTTTCATGAGCCACTTCTTTTCGGGCCTTAAAAAATACGTCTGAAGAAATCCATTGGTGCATGTTCTTTCGCTCAAATTATAGGATGTGGATTCATGGATCCGTAGATTCCGTACCTGGCATTGAACGATTGAGGATATCTAATATTTCGAGATTTCCCGATGGACAATTGTTGAGCGAGAGGATCTGAGGAAATTACCGGATGTTGTTAAAGACTTTAGGAAATGCACACACCGCTACCGGTACAAGTATGCGTGAAGCTTCACTACCGGTTGTAATTACCCGCCAATACACCAATCCATCGACACTCACAGGCCTCAAAGATCACCAACCTCTCCAACCACAATTCTAGTTAGATGCTCACGCGTTCCTGCAGAAACACTAGGTTACAATACACACCTCGACTGCACATCTGCAAATCAGCACTGTATTTAAAATACAAGCCATCTAAATGATAACCAGCAAATCACACCACATGATCATATCATTCTCATCACATTGTTTCAAACGAGTCTGGAAATTGAAGATCAAGATCTAGATTCCCGGTGGGTTGAATGACTTGCTAAACACACCGTAGGTGATCTTATGTACTCTCATTCACATGATGAAACCAAGCGACTCGGTCCGAGTTCTTTCACATGTATAACTATGTAACAATACACTACAAATCGTCGACTATTCACATGCAATATCCAAATCCTTCATCCAAATTATAACATGTGTGTCCCGATTGCGAAAGCCACATTCTGTAAGCCAAGATGTTGACCAATAAGTCACAATGGTATGAACTCATACTAACGACAATTTCTGGATTGCTCCTCCAAATGGTTACAGGCACATTTATTTCCATTTTAGAATTCTGCATTCATAAATTTGTTCGTTGTGTAAGAAGAGCTTGGGAAGGCTCAAAAAAATCATGGTAGATTCCGAGTTGTGAACTCAAATCATAAACTCGCTAAGCCCCCTTCATCAACACCCCAATTCACCAACCCGATGCACCTTCAATCCTAACGTCATCCCTATCTCATCCCCAAGTCCCGCCTCTTTTCTTCAAACCAGAACCCCACCCAAAAATAAAAGGTTTCCTGAGAAAATGCCCCACCCCGCTACCAAAAAATCCCGCTCTCAAGAAAAAAGCTTTTCTACTTCAAAAGAAAAATCTGCAAAAAAAGAACGTTGAACATTTGAAACCAGGGATAATCTGGCAGAACTCTCTGACGGGGAGTCGAACCCCGGTCTCCCGCGAAATGTCACAAAGGATGACAAGCGGAAATCATGACCGTTAGACCATCAAAGATGTTGTTTTGTTGATTTGATGAAAATTATTCCGTTCTAGGAAATATATACAAATTATTAAAGTATGTGGGACAGCGTCGAAGGACAAGATGCACGGACCAGTGTCTAGGGTGGTGGATAGATGGTGGATTAACGAGAAGATGTAAAGTAGATATAGGGTTGAAGTTGAGGCAATGTGCTAGGAAGTGAAGGCGGGTGGCGATATACCGGTAGTAGCAGGTGAGACTCAGCTTGAAGATAGTTTTGTCTTGCAAATAGACATCCTCCATATCTTGAATAATCTTGGGTTAGAAAAAGCTAAAGCAAACATTCGACGATTTTCCAATGCATGTTACGAGAATCTTTCATCACTGGCAGAGTCAATACACCAAATTAAGCATGGCAGCTTGCACGTTTTTGAGGGATAAAGACGAGTGAGACTGGCCACTATTTGACCTCACAATCTGATGGATGGGAGATACCAGTATATTTCAGATACATCTCCTTTTTCGAACTTTTAAGCGACAAATATTTCAACTCTTGATCCTCCTCAAACTCAGATGACAATACCAGACTTGTAAACTCTGTAGTTTGTTACCTCCTCGAGGATTAGTTCCCTTGGTTGTTTCCTAGCTTTCTCTCTGGAGTTCACTCTGTTTCAACAAACCATATCTTCGCTTTCTTATATTGTTCAAGATCAGAGCAGCCAACCAGTCAGCTATTACTAGTGTAAGTCAGTAAACTAGAGCTTCAAAATATTATCAGCAAATTAGCGAGGGGATAGTCTAGTTGGCAACTAGCTTATCATCCGAAAATTCGAAAATTCATAAAGGGAAAGGGGTAATTTTATCGCTATATAAAGATCACTTATTAGCTGATCAGTAGTTGATCAGCGAGGTCAGCGAGTAGTTAATCCCCAACATGGACGCCTAGAAGGCACAACAGTGTTCTTTTAAGTAAACTTATCCTTTCTCAGTATCCGAACTCAATTTCAAGTTCTCGATAGGAACTCTCGTTTGGTCCCAGAAGGAGAATACACAGTTTAAAATGATTTAATCGAAAATGTGATGGCTAAAACGTCATTTCGATGTTACTAAACAAACTCGATTATCTCAGGCACAAATAAAACTTCATTGGTGATTTCATACAATATCAATAGTCCTGACCACGATACTAATATTCCAAACAAAGAAAATTTCGTTCTTAAGAAACCTCATAACGTATTAGATTATATACTAAACGAACCTACAATTGAATCAGAATTTAAAGCAACATAATGGAAAGCGGATTACCTCTTGCAGATAAGTTTGGAGAAGGAGATCTTCAAACGACAAGACCAATATTCCTTTTAACATTTTTCAATTAGGATTAGGATCAAAGATTAATGATTTTAAGGGGTCCGCTTGTTAAGATCCGAGTTTTCAAGAACTATCTTTTGCGGATAGAATATAAACAGCAGCTCTCGAGTGATGCTACAAACTCATCCGAGTCCAATTACTAGTATCCAGGATTTTGCTTCGAGTGTAGAAAATAGCTTCGGAGATTTGGAAGCTCTCATCCTAGATATCAAACTATAATCTATCAAATCTACACTTCACATTCATACATTTACGAGTTACCAAAGGGAATACCAGAGGATATCAAGCCTAAATTCTGACTTCCACCCATACATACCCATCCGAATATACATATTCAATACTCCAAAATAATCAAACCATATTCAAACATCCACTTATACTCATCCAAGTATACACATTCAAGACCTCAAAATATCTAACCCACACTCGAACCTCCACATTTTACCATCTGTAGTCAACAATTCAGTACTTTTCATTGTTGCAGTGCAATTCAGACTGTTTGAAGTACTGCTAGATGGATGAATGGGCGGGTAATTAGACGTACAGACCCAATGTCTCGTTTTGCTTGGTGCGAGAATGTGATATACAACTTCGAACTGCTTCAATTTCTTAACCCAGACCCCCGACAACCTCTTCTCAAGCAATCTTTATCTTAAATCCAGTTGAAGATTTTGATTTCTTCATCTCTTTTGTCCCTAAATGTCCAACGCTCTCGCAGATTCATGATTTTATTTTCTTCTAATTTACCGTCCATAATCACTCCAGGCCCAACTCGGCTGTGCTATTTTCATCTTGACCATTGATCTGAATCATTCTATGAATATCTGCTTTAGAGTGATAAGCTTGTAGATTATTAAACTGGTTTATGGCACTACCATAGACACGGTAAGGTCTTATAATTACTCTGCTTCTCTCGCTCACCGATTTTACTCACAAATCTCACCCTCCTCCCCCATTCACCTAACTCATCACCTACCACACACCTCCTGTACACCTTCCCGGAATACTACAAACACATCCACCTTCCCATTACCTTTCCCGTTCACCTATACACCTCCAATACCAAATTCACCACCCCTTTTCACCACCTCTTCAATCTTTTGTTATATATCTACCATAGAGTATTCAGTTTAAAGATAGCTATAGAGTTTGAAGATAGCTATAGTCTCCCTAGAGACAGTACTTACTATAGGGATATATATTAGATATACCCTCACATTCCTTTTCTCCTTTTCACCCCTACCTCTCACATCCTAGCACATCTTTTTACTATCTCATATCTCATATCTCTATCCATAAATATCTATTCACCCAATCACTAAGTTATTTCATCCAATCTACTTTCCTATATACTATATATTACATACTATATACCACATATAATATTCATTCATCCACCCTCAGCCCTAGCCCCAACCCATACATTTTAAACCTTTTGTTGCATATCTACTACAGAATATCAAGCCTATAGATCCCTACAATACCTCTGAAATCAGTATATATTATAGGTATATCCCTCAAGCCTCATTCACTCCTTCTCTTACTCATTCACTCCCTCTCCCTCTCCCTTTACACATCCACCCAATCCACTTATTCAATCAAATTCACCCCATATCCACTACCCATCCCCACTCCCAACACCTATCCCCATCCCTCAAACCCTAACTTGCACATCTACTTACTACAAGGAGCCAGCCAAGCCTCTAACCTTCCCTATATCCATCCTCAAGCCTCCCATGACCTCCAAATTCTCAAGTACACTGAGAAGAACCCCCGACCTACCGGTACTATATCATCTTCTTCAAATCTTGCACAACTAAACCAGTGCATCAATCTCCTATCACAAGCTCATTGGCTATAACTTCACTTCCCTTGACTTCACTTCTCTTCACTTGACAGATACAAATGCGCCAAGGGGAGAATGTATATATATATCACTAGTAACAATATTAACACTATACGAGATGATAACTAATCCGATATAATACATAGTATTCAGTGTTTATCGCTAAATTCGCTTTGTGATGAAATCTTCTGTTCCTTCTCGCATGTCCTGATTTGACGTTTGGAAGAATGAGTATAATATGTACGCCTTTCGATCAGTCAGATCTGATAATTCCCGTAAGCAATATAGACACCCCAGACCCTAGCAAACCAGCCATCATGTGAGCAATTCCTGAGCTCTATCCATGTTAAACCCCAAATCCCAAATCCCAAATCCTATATTCGTTAACCTATACCCTAGCCCATCATTCAATACTCATCTTCATTAACCCATCATTCGTATCCACCATACCCTGGAACCCAACTCTCCTCCCCCCAACTCCCAACCCACTCTTCCCATTTCCAGGCTCCCCATTACTATTGGGTCTCACACCCCATGGCGCCGTATCCCTCTGCATCGGACTCTGCATTACAGGACTATTATGTACACTCATCCCGGGACTAACGGCTCTCCTCTTAAAACTCGTAGGATCGAGATCATCGTCTCGACGACGTTTATGTGTTATTTTGCGTATGGGTTCAACGGTTTGAGGGGTGGATGAACGGGAAGGAGAGGAGTCGGAGTTTCTGCGATGGAGATTGAGGGGTGTGGAGAGGTGGGTTTCTAATGATATATCTTCGCTCATGCCAGAAGAGGAGTCCCGAGGATGAAAATTGGGTGGGGGTGGTGTGCGACTATTCTCGTCTGTGAAGGACTCCCAGTATTCTTTGCCTTTGGAGTTGCGGATGACTTGTTGCTTGAAGCTACCAGATGGTTGGGAATTTGACGCATCAACCATTAGATCATCTTCGGGCATGCCTCCTATAGGAGGTAGAAAATCCTGTGATGCGCCAAGTATTGGTGATGATCGTGTAGTATCTGTTGTTGATATGGAGGCATGACGGGAAGGTTCGAGATCCATATTACTTTCGCGGGTTTGGCGGACGACTTCAGCTTCTCGACGAACTTCAGTTTCGACTGGGGCGCCCTCTTCTGCTAGAGCTGCTCGGATACGTGCAAACCCTTTGGTTTTAGGCTGCTTAGTGTTAGTAATGCTCAATTCTCCAACAGTGGAATACATACTAGCATGTTTCCCCTCCGGGTCACCGCTCTGCGAATGACCCCTCGTTGTCCATCTTTTCCGGGTGTACTAGGCATGCTATCCACATTTTCTAGAGTCGACTTCAATGCACCATCATCACTTTCACTTCCTGATATGTGCAATTGGTTTGCAGCCCAGCTTATACTTTCTCTTCTCGAATGAAAATTATCAACCGCCATTTCTCTACCGAAATAACCACTTTCGACATTCCGCATCGTAGGAGGTGATTTGGAAGTTGGACTGGCCATTGAATCACTTCTTGACCCTTTGCGACTTTTTCCGTTTCTAAATCTTGCGCGTTGGAAATTCATAAGACTACTAACTGCAGGCGATTGTCCAGACCAGGCGCCGCCAGGGCTCGCGTTAGGATGTCCGTCGAAAAGTGCTGACATTTTGTTGATTTGAGGTGTTGTAATAATAGAGTCATCAATATCATCCGCGTCCATCAAATCATCGTCGTCGGAACTACTTCCAGAAGATTCGGAGGCCATCATATTGACACTACCAAGCGAGTTCGATACGGTCATTCTTTCTGAATTCGCCATGGAAGACCACATAGAACCTTCCCCGCCGCTCGTAAAGTGTAATCCATTTTTCCTATTCGGAATGTTCATAGCTCTGCCGGTTATTGTAGGTGATGAATCGGGTGATGATTGCTCTGCGAGTGTGGAGTGGTGAAGATTCGTTGCAGCTCTTGAAAAATCCAAACCTCGAGATCGTCGAGGCAACACACTTGTAGGCGACCCATATGTTTGTGATTGATCCAATTTTGGTGATAAAGGGACTCGATTGATATATGCTGGTGATCCTAGTGGCATAAAACCCCCTTGAGGCATCTGCAGTGAAAGACCTCGGGGAAACGCAGGCCGCCTTGGAGTTGTTGGACTGTCGGAAAGGGAACTATCATCTTTGGAGACTCGCTTTTCGGATTCGTGAAATTTAGGAGACGGTGAAAGAGTTGGTTGACCGCCATCTGATAATGACCGAGCTTTTGAAGGCGATCGTGATGTATTTCTCATATTGGCTTCTGCGCGTTTGTCGTTCACTTCACCTCCAGTTTCGGATTCAACAATATCCATACTTGACGACATGTCCCTGGTCGATTGATGTGGAAACATAAAGGCAGATAAATCGTGAATTAGTATAAAGAGTAAGAAGAGGCTAAATCGATATTCCAATCGATTTCTCTACAGCATCTTCCAGTTGTTCAGGTTGTAGAATCGATGGATGTAACCACCGTACATCCAGAATCCAGAATCCAGACAGGCGGCAAGAGATGTCCAATGTATGATGTTGTGTGTTGTGTGTGTGGAATTGATATCACCACGAAGATTGATTCACTTCAAAGTTTAGGAAGAGAATGAGGGGTCGGTGATGTGATATTATATGTTCACAAAATGTACCGCAGAAATATGAAAATGAATGATGATGTTATTCTACATGGTTGACTCCATTCGGTATTATTAGCAACAATACGGCAGATCGACAAAAGATTTGAAGCACAGTACTACCGGAAGGTCAGTATTGGTTAAAACACTCCACGCTTGTCTGTTTATGGTTAAATCTCCAGATGACTAATCATTCACTGGATGTACAAACCCCCTCACGAATATTCTACACTGCCACGCTGCCACGCTACCCCCGGCCGGAGCTTTCGCATCTCAAGTATATCCTCACATCTATGTCATGGCTTATAGCAATATTGCGTTCCGTAAATCTTGAGCTGGCTTCATCTGAGCAGGAATAATTTGAAAATCTTTAAAGATGCCTTTATTTGTCCTTTAATGCTCTCAGTCCAGAGTGTTCTTCTCCAACTCATCAATTACAAAACCACATGAAACCTCGATTGAGAAGAAATTGTTGTATCATAATACCAAAGTACTTTTTGTTACATTAATATATATTGTCATTATTCATTGGGTGTTCCGGGTATCCGAACTCACTCCCAGTCTCGCATCGATCTTTGAAACATTCATACAGCAGAATCAATCTTTCTACCATTCTCCCATTCTTCACTGTCTGTACCGGTACTCCTTCCCGAGCTGTTGTTACTTTCACTAAGCGCACCGTTCTTGGATAAATGTTTCATGATGCCCTCTTCTCCTTTCTCATGCACATTATGGCCCTTAGCGATAACTCCAAAGCTATCTCGTTGTATCATCTCATACAATGCGGTTCCAAAAAGCATGGCAGGTATACTTGTGAAAATGGGTATCAATGAATAGACAGGGAAAGCATCCCCTCCGAAGAATATGGCTGCAACGATACGGGCTCCTAAATCGCGAGATGAATTAAGCTCTATCGTCACATCTGCAAAACCCCAAATCATCGTCGCTAAGAGAGGTTAGCAAGTGTTCAACAATCTGCAAGGGGGGATGAGAAGTTAACTTCAATTCTCACCATAGCCTAATCCAATAACCCATGGTACGGAAGCTGCAGATACGAACGGGTTCATGGGGTCGAGGCAAGCCCAAATCACAATTCCCTAAAAACATTTTAGCAGGACTTCAGTGTTTGGGATAGTCATCAATACATACTACGAAGACATCGGCAAAGAATTCAATAAAGAACATATATCCATGTGATTCGGTCGCTCCAGGAAATGAGCAGAGAATACTCCCTGGTCCGCCTGGCGAATTCAGACTCAGGCCCTTAGCACGATACTCTGCAGCAAGTGCTGTCAATTGTGGGTAGTATTGTCCGACGAGCAGCATGGCTGCCATAAAAGAACCGAAAACTTGGGCGAAGATATATTGAGGAACCTTTTTCCAAGGGAACTGGAACGAATTAGCGACTGTCGACACATAGATAAAGGCCAAGTGAACGTACACCCAACCATACGGCACAAGAGATCGTTACTGCTGCATTGAAATGACCTCCCGAAGTACTTCCACAAATTCTGTTGATCATCAGCGAATGAGTCAATGAGTCGTCGACGATATCTTAATAAGATCCAAGCTCAACATACATGATAGCGAATGCAATACCAATAGCAAAGGCCCAGCCAATTTGGAAAATTGATCCAAACGCTGGATCACCAGGGTTGAGAAAAAATGATGCAGACGATGCGATTCCCGGATAACTACAAACGACTGTCAGTGGCTGTTGTGTACTTTCTCTGCTCTCGACTTACACGAAGAAAAACACTCCCATAGCCTCCGCTGCCATTTCTCGCATCCACCTTGGCCTTGCATTCTCGAAGTCTAGTTTGCGTTGCGATACTGGCTTGGGTGCCACGACATGTCTGTTGGCATGGCGCTCTACTGCCTCTGTGTAGCCAATCTCCAATTCCCTGGTACCAAGACGACTTGAAACATCTTGAGGCATTATGCAACGAGTGAAAAACAGCAATTTGTCCAAGCTGGAGTGGTGAAAGTGGCAATAGAGCAGATATATCGAATTGTCAAGCAACCTCGGAGATGCTTGAAGTGCGGGGTTTAGGTTGGATTATGTACTGCACGATACCATGAAACCTGCGGGATGCTGTCTAATGATTCAATGAGGAAGGTAGCGGCCAAAGATAGTTCGGGTAGATGGGATCGTGTTTAAATATGGACTTGCCACCTAGAGGTTTCACGGGAAAGGAGCAGCACAAAGTTGGACTCATTTTGATATAATCCTACCCGTCTAGCATCTAAGGTTATCTCTCATTGGCTCAACAAAAGTTAGAATTGCCCGGTACAGCCAATCAAATTAACTCCAGGTCGAATTGCCTAAAGGAGTCCGGAGCGGTTGCGACTTTTCGCTTCAACGCATGCTTACAATAGGAGCGGAGACTTCTCACATCTTACACCGATAGCATATTACTTTGAGATTACTCAGGTTTTGCACTGCTCTCAGATTGCACTGTGCCAAGTTTAACATATCGTCAAAACTCCCAAGGGATTGTTCGAGGCCTTGCTTCCGAGTCTGGACGACTGTTTCATGTCCGGGTTGCGCCACAAACGCCACACAGCCACACATCCTTGTACCTCGATATATCTCATAGGAAAGCGGAGTTCATCACGATAATTTTGGATTATTGAGTAACGATACATTTGAGAAAAGAAAATTAATGGCCGTTATTCCTGTTATCCTTCCTCATCGGTATAGTAGCCTATTTTTCGAACTCCCTTCTGACTCAACCTCATTTCCATTTTGTCGACACATCTTCCGTTCTTCATAAGGACAGAACACCAAGACATCTCCGGAAGTCAAAATGCATCTTCTCAAAATGCCCTTCCCCAACAATGCAATTCATCAAAATAATTCATCTATTGCAAGAGTCTTACTGCGTTATCTTCCAGTCCGGACTGGTGATTCCTGACTACTAGCCATTCCTCATTTCAGCTCCATTTGAAGATCTTGTAGTTCTTCTTTGAGCACGATTTACTTTCACCATTTCAGAAGGAGAGAGCATGTCGTCTGCATCTGAGCCCTCGGTTTCTCTGCTAGGAGTTTTCTTATAGCGAGATTTACCAGCTTTGCTATCGTCAGTGACAAGCCATCGTGCTGAGAGGGCAATGTGATGGGACAACCTACTTCTATCATGACTTCGTGCGCCGGTTGTTGATGGAGTTCGCGTAGGAGTCAAACTCTTTGTGTTGGGTTTTTCGGGCGGAACCGATGGGGTTTGTGGTTCGGGTGCTACTCTTCCCTCTCCTTCCATCAAATTTCGAATTTTGGAATGTTCTGCACGCTGGTGATGCCGTCTATCATCCAGACTGTTGAATTTTTCGTTGCAAACCAGACAATCAAGCGAGCAAACTTCTGATACCTGTGTCAGTGATAGACACATATATGCACGATACAACTCACTCAATTTAAGATGCCGATACAATTTAGTTATATCCACAAAGGTCCTCTCGCAGTGACTGCACTTCGGTTTGGGATCTACGGTTTCGGTTTCAATTCTCTTCTCGCGTGGTATATTTTGATGACTCTCCTCGGGCGCAGTCTGTGGTTTTGTGATTGAATCTGGCCGTGGCGTATCAATCAATTGGGCTTTGTGTTGAGTTTCAACGCGCTGATAAGTTGGGCTGAAAGTCCTGGCAACAGCAGCTAAAATATCTTCATGGTATCGACTGTTCTGCTGGTCTACCATGGCGCTTGGCTGAGGGCGTATCGGCTCAGCAGAAAGTTCGGTCATCTGCTCTCCACGTTTTGGCCTACAATATTCGCTATGCTCAGCTTTTTGGTGATTACGCAGAGTAGAGGCGCGATTGAATCTTCTGCCACATTCTGGGCACTTTGTACAACTTCCTGGTTGCAAAGTCAATAAGCTTGCAACAAAACATAAGGGGGTAGCTCACTATTCTTTTCGTGCGTACGAAGTGAAGCCAGAGCCGGGAATTCTTTGTCACATTGCTCGCATCTTGGAAGAGGTGGATCTCCACTTCTGTCAGAGTTTGAGAAATCTTCGGTTTCAACAGAATTGTGTGCCTTTATATCACTATCATAAGTATTGGCGACTGTGGAAAGTTGAGATGTACCAAGCTGTACGCCCTTGCTCGATTGCCCCGTACTTCTACAATCTGGTTTCGAGTTTTCCGCAAGCTCAGTGATACGACTGGAGACGGCTTCAGATGATTTCTTTGGGAACAACAAAACTTTGCTGTACTTTGCACCGATCCTTTCTTCGGCAGTCTTCCTTAAGAAATTTTGTGTCTGTACCAAGGCGGATTCTTTGATATTCCCACCGGTTGCAGTGTCATATATGTGAAATGATGCATGAATCCAGCTACTGCAACTCTTGGATCCACTTGAGTGTTTCCTAGCTGTGATGTCGTCCACAAACGTCGTCCCCACTGGGTAGATTACGAATTCATACCGAGATTTTGTGATAACAGAATTGGCCTTCAAGGTCAAAGCTGTCTGGAAGATTTCTTGCAGATGTGCTCGCCTATCTTTCCAACATTCTGGATGCTCCCCCCAAGTATGGAATAGTCCATCTTCTATATTGTCTGATGTGGTTGCGAACAAGGGAGCCATTGCGTTGGACAACCTCGCCGCGAAATCCGTGGCTCTTCTGGGTATCGACTCTTCCTTGAACCATTTTCCCTCGATAATCGCGCGATGAGCTGCCATGTCCAAGCTATATAGTCTGTCCTTCCCGTCTACAAGATTAGTCCTCTGTCCAATATTAATGGCATGACACTCACCTATTCTGGAGATAATATGCCTATAATTCAACAAAATACGGGGATTTGAAGGTGCGAAGTTCGGAAAACTCGACATAAATACCCAGTCTTTCAGCGCAGCCAAGACAAAAACTCTAATGCAGATGTGTGCATCAAACTTTTTCATGATGGTCTCGACATCGTTTCTTCCGCTGGCAGTTTCGATGTCGCTACCAAAAGCGGAAAGTATTAGGTTGCGCAGGTCCCCCGACATTGCAAATATTTTAGGGAAAAGTTGCTGGCTAGTATTGCGATGGTAAGAAATTGAGGAGAGCTCGAATTGTATTTGATCCATCGCGTCGTCGGCCGTATCGTGTCCGAGATGTAGGCTTCCAGGTAAATCTAGATTGGCAAATGTTGCAAATTTGCGTATCTCTTTATTCTCTTTGGTCAATCGGTATATTTCCTCCAGATCCTCAAATTGTCGGGTCTCCAACGAAATGTTCGCATCCTTTTCGTGAGTCTCTCGTTCTCCTTCTTCGCGAGTCTTTCGTGCTTCATTCAGGTGTTTTATTTGTACCTTTAGATCTCTGATCGTTGCTTGCGCCTCAGCTTCCTTTATGCTGAGCTTTTCGACCTCTGCTTGCCACAGCTCTTGAATATGAGCTATTTCTCGGTTATGTTTGTTCTCCACTGATTTCCAATGTTTCGCCCAGTTATCTCCATTTGTTTCTTGGTCTGACGGATCCAACGGGGGTACTTGAGGCTTGGCTTGGATGATCTCCTTGCCGTTGCAAGTTGCAACTCCATCTGTAGCTTCGGCCGAAGTGACTGCCGGCTTTTCAGCAGGGGGACGGGATTTCCTGCTTCCACTCGCAGCGCTATGTTGAATGACTGTTGCAGACGAATCATCCTATGGACCATATTAAGTCAGGTTCTGTGTTCCCGACAAGAGTGTTTATATACTTTACTCAAGCGAGGTTTTTTGGAAAGGGGAAGACTATTGTCTGCTTTCTCCAGTTGCTTTCCACGCTTTACTCCCCTCTCATCCTCTTTTGTCAAAGAATCATTTTTCGACTGGCCCGTGTTTCTCTTCTGCTCTTCGCTGTCTTCTATCAGTTTGATGATGAATTGACTTGTCTCATTATTGACATGCTGGTCGACTCGTGTTTTAATAGCTTTGTGCATTTCGCCTGGAAGTTTGACCATATAAGCGGAACCTTTGCTTAGCATATCGACTGATGATATCGTTTGATCAGTATCTTCACTCTGGTAGCCATACTTTCGCCATAGTTCGATTAGATGGTCTTTCACTACATCAGGATTGGAAACGCCGCGCAATAAAATCATGAACTTAAGCCTATTTTCTTTGGGTTCCACCTTCCGTTGTTTGCAAAAATCAATCGAAGCAAGCAGCTCAATATCCTCCTTAGACCAATGATTCACAGCCATGATTGATATCAAAACTCTAAAGCCACAGAAAATTTGGCTGTCCGTAGTTTGGGACTGGAGGATATGAGGAGAGATAAATCTGATACATGGCTGGATTCCAGCCACTGAGCGCGGCAAGCGCACATTAATCTTTAGTATCTCTGTTTGCGATTTCGCGAATACTGTGGAACTGATAGGTATTGTGATAGAATGAGTTCTAAAGGTCTTTGTCCTGCCTCAACCTGAAAGATATTGGCATCCCTCCTGCAGCAACCCATTTTGCATCCGAGCGCCCTATCCTATCGGAGCATCTTTATATCTCCGAGCTGTTTGCACCTCGCCTCCACGTTTGTTCTTCCAAGATAAAATCTTAGTTGATTGTTCTATTGAATGGTCTTGTGAGATTTATTTCTTTTCTTTGGACATGGTTACACCTTATCAGGCAGGGATTCGATACAAATCCTTCTGCAAGATTCCGTACTTAATTAAGTGTAGCTGATTATAAATTACTCATATTATCGAAGTCATAATAAGGCCCGAGAGTTAAACAATCAAGTCAGCATTAAGTTGCCGCCTATGAGCTCTGATGAAAGTGTGCCTAAATCGTGCCTATAAATCATATGAGGCACATTTCTCTCTCTACACAACCTTGAAAAGGGTTTTCCTCAGCCCAAAAATTGACGGATTTGCTACTACTCACCCCACCGATAAGCCTCTGAAAAGTAAAACATGGCAACGAGAGGAGGACCTTTTGGATCAAATCGCAGTGCTTCCAAGCAGGCTGGGTCAGCTCGAAACAGGTGGACCACGCAAAATCATGGCAACGGAACGATACAGTCTCCAACCACGAAAACCGGTTCTTCTGCTCAGCGGAATCTCAACTTGCGAAAAAACACTATTGCCTCCACAGAAAAGGTTATTGTTGGCCTGGATTACGGGACAACATTCACATCTATCTCATACAGCATTGTTCCAATTGACAGTGGTAATATAAAGGGCTCTGCCAATGATGTCATGAGTATTGTCAACTGGCCAGACGATGGAGACGATGGAGAAAAGAAGCAACTTCCAACAGAAAGTTGGTACTCACCAGAACCAATTGAGCGGCATCGGAATGATCAAGCCGAGATATTTGATGAAAATCTATTCGATTCGTTCCAAGGACAACATCCCTTGATATTCAGCAGGACAGGGGGAGACACAATCAATGAATCTGAAGACACCGAAATGGAAGATGAGCTCTCTGTTAATTTTCTTTGGGGATATGGTGTGCCATACCAATTGTACAACGCGCATTCAGCCCGAAGCCAAAGACGACTTGTGAAAAGAGCCAAACTGATGTTGGTGCAAACTGAGTATACCAACGAAGATCGAAAGGGGCTCCGAGGTACATTTACTGGTCTTCTCAGAGAAGGTATTATACGCAGACATGGAAAGCGATCTAAAGCCGAGTCTGATATGTGGGATGCAGTGGATCCAATATCAGATTATCTTGTGAAAATTTTGCAGCACACTAAAGAACAACTGAAACTTCTCCGTGGATTTACAGATCAAACAACCGTGGATTTCGTAATGACTGTGCCTACCGTCTGGTCTCCAGAGGCTTCTCGCGTGCTGCAGACATCTGTCAAGGCCGCCATACTTGCGACTACTTTTGGAACGCCCGGGGGGACTACTGCGGATAACATTTTCATAATCTCTGAGCCGGAGGCTGCTGCAACATTCCTCTTAGAGAATTCAGAGGATATATCTGTGGGTTATTCATATCAGTAGATTCGGTACAACCGAATCTGTGGCTGACAGTGGTGTAGCTTGGTGAAACGTTTATTATTGCTGATTGTGGCGGTGGCACGGTCGATGTCGTTACATACGGAGTCAGTAATCGCTACCCTCTCCGCTTGAAGGGAGAAAGGATTCAACCAGTCGGTAAGTTTGAACACCCTTCATGTAATTCTGGAAACCTGATTATGTGCGCTTAGGGGACAACTGTGGATCTAGTTATCTCAACGATCACTACAAAGATATGTTGCTCGATCGGCTCCAAGACGAAGATTACCTCATCAAAAATGGCGAGACGCTTGAAGCAATTGTAAATCGGTTGATTCCAGCTTTCGAGAATAAAACCAAGAGGAGGGTGGATGTTATGAGTCGATCTGGACCGGAGAGGGTGTATATTGCAGGTTTACGTAGTGATGAACAGATAAATCGTGTTGGTCCAGCAGAAAAGCGTTTCAAGGAGAACTTTCTACTCTTGAATCGGTATATGTGTTTCTTTTCGGTTTAACAAATTCCCTTCGCTGATATCTTCTCAGGGGTGATTATAAGGAGATATTCATGCCCCTCTTGCTGCGTATCTCGGCATTGCTGGAGAATCAGATCAATCAAGCTGTGGCGAAAAAACTTGTGGTCAAGGTATGCATCGAAACTCCCAACGTACATACAATCTATCTTCTGACTACCCAAAGAAAGTATTCCTTGTCGGTGGCTTTGGTGGGTCTCCTTCGTTGAGAAGCTATCTTAAGCAATGGCTTGAAAAGAAATCGGAGAAGATCAAATCCAACATCGAATTAGTAACAGATGCTCATAAATGGTAAATTTAGCATCATTCCTATCTACCTAGTGAACTGACAATTCCAAAGTATCACAGCAGTAGCATCAGGTGCTGTTCTTCGTGCTCTCGATAAGAAGAATGGACCAGAAAGAATCTCACAGTCAAGTTATGGCTTCCTCCGACATGAGCCATATGATCCTCAAGAGTATCCTGGGCATAAAGAAGCCAAGACCAATGAAAACGAATTGGATGGTGAGAAATATGTGGCCACGATTGATTACTTCATGATCAAGGTAATATGTCGAGCCGTTGATGTATATATGACTCTCTGTTCTCGTCCTAACACTTGACAGGGAAAACCAATTCGTCCAGATCACCAATTCCGACCATTCCCTACCTATCATACCTTCGCAATTGATGAAAAGAAATTTCTCTGCGAAGAAATTCTCTACGTTTCCGATACCGCTACAGAATCCCATTATAGTCGCAAGAATATCAAAAACGCTGGTTAGTGAACAATAAGTCATCCTCATAACTACTAACACATAACTAGATGCTCAAATCGCCGGGCGCATCATCGTAGATATGACATTTCTCCGCGATAAAGGTACCATCAAGCCTGTATACCCAGAAGAGGGCAACAATGGGACAAAACACTATATAGTGGATTATGAACTGGTGGCGATAGTATCAGGGAGAGCTTTGAGATATGAGGCGAAATATCCTGCGGGCGAGGGCGGGAAAGTGCAGGGGAAAGGACAATTGAGTATTGCGGCGGCTTTTAGGGAGGGAACTGCTTAGTTTGATATTTTCTATTTTCTTGGCAATAGTGCTTCAGGATTGTTGGGTTATGTTAGGTGGTTTGGAAAATATCATTCAATATCTTAATTTTATCGTGCTGGATCTTCTGGATATATATAATATGATATGTATTGGTGGTAAAGATATATGAACTCGATTAGGAGGGAATACATACAGTACGGTTTTATTCCACACCCAGCTGTGACTTATTTACTTATCTGAAATCTATCTCATATGATTGTTTATAATGATAGTTACTAATCTGATGAGGTTACCGGTACGGGTACTCGACCAGTTCCGGCTCAAAAGCTTAGCCGAGCCCCGATATTTTTGGTTTTCTATTATTAGAGGTCTTTCTGGCGACATGAGTAGGAGGAGGAGCTGTTGGCATGAGAGATCTATCTGAATGGATATCGAATGGATAATCGAACATCACTTCTATTGAGTCGTCGCTATAGATTAAAGCGTGAAGTGAGGCCACCCACGATTATACTCTATCTATCTAGTTATTGAAATATTAGTTATTAAAGTAGTTCAAAAGGGGGAGGAACAATTGAAAAAGCAAATAAGATTATTTATTATTTACTCTTCTAAATAGACTACTACTTAGAGCTTTACTCAATCAAGTAGAATGAATGTACTATATATATATAATTCATATAGAAAAAAAAATACGAGAGAGATAACCCAGATACGAAACCCCTATCGCTTAACAGTTGGAAAAGTACACACACTCGATCGCGTTAGATTGCAAAATCAATTCAAAGAAACTGTTGCTCATGAAATGTACATGGGTAATAAAATACAAAAGTAAATGCAACTGCCGTGAATCGAACACGAACCTCCACCTTGCTCCACCGTTAAACGGTTGAATGGAAGGGTGGAATCCTAACCATTGGACCACAGAAGCTATATATTTCTCAATAGTTGGATACTATATATATACCAGGCGGACAAAGGAATAATGGAACATGATTGGATGTTGAAGCTATTGTGCTTTGCGTTGTACAGTGGAATGTGGAGGCTGGGAGAAAGCGGATATCGTCGGATATCGTCGGACAATATGTCGGGTGTAAACTTCGCGTTTGTATTTCGTAGCCGACGTCAAGCTAGATCAACAGCGCCAGTACTGACTGGTTACATAATCTGAACGTACAGTACGTTTCAACGAAATACAAGTCCCAGACCTTTGATTCTTGATCTGTACAAGCTGTGTGTCAACTAGTGTGAATTTAGAGTTCGACTTAGAACCAAACTTACCTATTCATTGTTCAAAAGTTGGCATTTCAAATCACACCAACACCAATACGACCAAATCGCCAAATAACAGCAGATGAACGTGTAATCATTTGGATTAAGACAAGCAGCTGATCAGCAACTAAAAGCCTACTTCAATAGACTTAGAGAAGCTTAGTCTGTAATCTGTAGTCTGTAGTCTGTCGAAAAGTTGGATGAAGGGGGTGTACTGTACCGGTAAATCTTACTCCCTTCTGGTACGTACCGTTGAAACTCTATTAATTTGTTTTCAGTCTAACGCGATTGGTTTCTCTCTAGGGGAGGGGCCCAAATAACATATATGATTGAAAGAATCATGAAGATGGATATCGAATAATCAATTTGTTTGTCCATTTTTGTTCCGGAATTTCTATCTTGGTGATCAGAAGCCAGGAAAGCAGTACTCGATACAGCTAGACCAAAAACAAGTAAGCAGAGTTTGACGGTAATAGGATTCAGGTTGTAGGTGTCATGATGGAAAGTGCAGCTGTATAAATCCGCTATTCGCACCTGCCGTATTCATTCCTTACGACGGTACCGGCACGTTTTATCTCTGACTCACGGCACTTGAAGATTAGTACATCCGCCGGACCATTGATGATTGACATTATAGCGTTGTTTTAAGGTTTCTAGCTCAAAGTAGTGTGTACTAACACTTCCAAGACTTAGGGACAAAGGTTTTTAGTGGAACCTTTTGAACGGTGGTCTAGATGTGTCGAAATCTTGAAATGCTGTGATTCTTTGAATAACGAAATAATCTTAGTGGATTGATTCATTGTACCGAATGAACACAATAGATCGAATGAGTTCATTGTACCAATTGGACACAATGTAGTAAATGAGTTCAGCATACCAAAGGGACTCAAAGTACCCAGTGGTTTTAGTGTCCTAAATAAGTTAGCTGCATGATATACTCAAGAACCATTCCATTAGCTCGTCGGATTACAGTTCCGGAATATTGAACACCCCATCTGAGAAGTGTGATGCACAAAATTGATACTGCAAGCTTTTTGCTTACGTGGAAGTAGATCAGAGCTCTTTCAACCGTTTTGGAACTACTCGTACTAGTAATTAGCAGTGAAGAATTTTCTTCTTCTTCGAACCAATTACCTTTTAGTTTCTGATGCCAATTTATCCTTCTGCTCCCTGACAATTGATGATTCAGCCTTTACTCAAATATCTTGTACACATACTGTAGATCATAAATGAAGCCACAATCGAATTGTCGAATCCTGTTCTTGGTTTTAAGCGTCATATGGTGGGCCAATCTAAGAGCTTTTCACGAGCTACACACACCCTACAGAGCTTAGCTTCATTGTGGTATTACCGCGATGATCAATCTGTGAGCAATTGACCACCGTTTAATCCACCTTGCAATTGATACAAAAAACCTTGATTCGAGTGAAAAGTCTATTGAATATGAATTCAACGAAGCCCAGATAATGGGCGGTTCTCGAAAAGCGCAACTAGTGTGAGCGATCCTGCTGGTTAGATGAGAGACTAGACAGAACTAGTACAAGAAGGAGCTCACAAGCGTTGGTTGAGAGACTCGCCATTCGGATATAGTACACCTTATATACCGTGAACGCTTTATTATCTTCGAGCTACTCGGCTAGGAGCTTACTTGGAGTCTCGTTGAGAAATTTCTAGGCTTTCTAGGTATGCTAAAGACTAGTGTCTTGCGATTCGGACACGATAGTAAGTCATGAGTATCGCTCCGGTGTCCTTGGGGAGTTATATCCTGTATTTAACAACGATCATCCATCTGCATCTGTCAGTAGTGCATCATAGACTATCATAGCTTTAGCTAGCGCCAATCTACCCATGATCCTGGGGGGATTATATCCTGTATTTAACAACGATCATGCCATCTGCATCTATCAGTAGTACATCATAGACTATCATAGCTTTAGCTAGCGCCAATCTACCCATGATTTTTGGGGGATTATAGCCTGTATTAGATGACGATCATGATATCCACCCCCGTCAGTGGTACATCATAGAATATTATAGCATGATCTAGCGCCGCCGAGCTCCCTGTTATTTAAACCTCCCATGTCCTCTCCTCTACCCAGTTCCTTTTCCTCTTCAGCCGCTTACTTCTTCTCTACATCTGACATGCCCTTCGCATCAGATATTTTCAAGTACAATATCTATATATCTATACATCTAAGCCTGTCAGCATTCTCACTCATTATCCTCTCTATATCCACTTCGATGTCATTCTTCGACAACTAGCCAACATGAGCTCCACCAACATGAGCTCCACCAACATCACCACTACCCCAACCCCCACCAATCCATCCACCTCACCCATCAACTCCCACTCCGCCGCTCCCGCCCACCCAAGTGGCACACCTCCCCCTTCCTCGTCCCCGCCTCAAAAAATGCAGGGCGATTCCCAGAACGAAGAGAAACAACCGCAGCGCGATCTTTCCTCTCGCGACGCCGAGGTCTCGGCCCTCAAGATCCGGATCAACTTATACCACCAACGAGAATCCACACTCAGCAAAGTAGTCGACACAGTAGCGACAAAACAGGAGGTAACCCTTGCGGAAATATGCAAGGACATCGAGGAATTAAGTGCAGGGATCGAGGCCCGAAGCGAAGAAGTGGAGGAAAGAAGTGCGTTCTTGGACAGAAAGGCGCTGCACTTGGAGAATATCTGCAACGAGTTCGATGAGGATGGCGAAAAACTGGACCAACGAGAAGAGAAGGTATACTTGAGAGAAATGGAGGCAGACCGAAAAAAAAAGCATTACAGCGATGTAAATACGAATTTGAAAAAGAGGGATTTGGATTTGCAATGGAGACAGAGGGAGCTGCGCCGCAGAGAGGTGGAGTTGCAGCGCAGAGAGGAGGAGGTAAGACGCCAAATTCGCCTGTTGGAGAAACGGGAGAAAGGCCAAAAGGAAGAACCCGAAGAGGAATCGAGGGGAGCAAAGAAGAGGCACCTTTGATGGATATGGAGGAATTGAGGGATGGGGATTGGATCTGGGGTTTGGAGAGAGAATTCTAGTCCAGAAGGAGAGGATAACAAACAGGCTCTGGTCTACTCTCCCTCTCTATTCCCGTTTTCTTGGTGCTTTCTTATTCTTTTCTTGATGGAGACTTACAGGCATAGACTAGATGTAAAAGGAAGATTCTAGATGTGTTGTGTAATTGTACATAGCCTAAATGTTTTTTTTCTCAGCTTTTCATATTGATTGTGTGTATGCAATTGAATTGAACCAAATTGATATATTCTTTACTTCTCCCCTCCTAACAAACTCTAGGTTACCCTTTCATCTACCTCTCCGCTTTCTCACCTCTTCACCCCTCTATCCTCATCCCCTTCAAGTTCCCTCCCATCTAAGCACCCAAACCCACCCCCTTCAACGCACCCCCAATAACCCCTACCATCTCCAACACCATCTCATCCTCGCCTCTCCTGCCCACACACTGTAATGTCACCGGCGTCCCATGATAAAACTCCTCTTCATAATCCTTCTGCAACCTCCCATCTTTCGCATTCAACGGCTTCCACTCCTCCCCCCTCTTCTTGTCCACCTTCTGATCCGCAAACGTAACCGGAAACGTACACGCCGGATAATCCAAAAGATTCCACACCCCCGTATAATTCACACAAAAAACATCCGTCTGCGTAATCCCCAACCGGGGAGCCGTCCATGGACTCGCGGGCATAATAAGAGCGTCCATAATTCCTATTCCCATTCCATCATTTCCATTTCCATTTCCACCCGTGCTCATCCATCGATCCAAATACTGCTTCTGAAAAGTATTTCTCCGCATAATCATCTCTCGCAACTTCGTAGGTCCTAATGTTCCATGTTCCCCCTGATCGTACGCAAATTCATAGTTCTTCATACTTTCAAACACAGGCTCGTCGTGTTTACGCGTCAATTCGAGAATGGCAGCTCCACCGAGAGTATAGAAGGAAGTATTCATTTCTCGCGCCATTTCAGGATGATTGATGGGTTCCCATTCGAAGACCTCGTGACCGGCTGCTTCTAAAGCTTGTTTCGTGAGTGCTAGACCGCGCGCAATAGGTGGGTGAACGCTGATTTCTCCGTCGTTGTCGGAGATTATACCGATGCGGAGTTTGCGGCCGGGGGGTTGGATTGTGTTTTCTCGCCAGGGAATGGGGAGACATTTGGGGTCGTGTAGCCAGGGTGAAAGGGCGGAGGAGAGAACGGATTTGCAATATAGTTGAAGAGTTGAAAGGGATTTGGACATTGGGCCGTTGTTGGAGTAGATGAAATCTTGTCCTGAGATTCCGGATTTAGTACCGTAGATTGGGAATCTGCCGAAGCTATTGTGTTTTATCAATATTGCCCAGTACACAGATGAAGAGTGTGCACATACGTAGGTTTCAATCCAAAGAGTCCATTAAAAGCACTTGGAATCCTGATACTTCCTCCGATATCCGTTCCAATTCCCAACGGACTACCTTTCATAGCCAAAAGTACACCTTCACCACCAGAACTTCCTCCTGAAGTTGTACCGCTATGATAAGCACCGTTAGTTTCGCCCCATACATTTGATATCGTCTCCATCATCATCATCGCAACAGGTACTGCAGTTTTGACATAGAAAACCGCTCCAAGCTTGGCCAACAAAGTTACTAATACTGTTTCATCTCCTGGATTGGTGGGGACATTGGCATAACATGCCATTCCGATAGAAGATGGATGAGGTGGTGTTACGAAGCAGTCTTTGAGAGATATTGGAAGACCATGAAGTGGCCCCATCACGCTCCCGGTTCTAGAAAGATAATCATCGAGAAACTCTGCTCGTTTTAGAGCTTCGGGAATGAGAATTTCTGTTAGACAATTTGTCTACAATATTGGTTAGTAGGGATGGCTTTTGGGTATTTGGGAGGACAGACCAATTGATGAGCAACGACAGCAGCCTTCGAAAATGCCTTAGTGACTTCTACCGATGTCCACACCCTCTCTCTAATTTTTCGAAGTATGTTTTCCGCATCTGTCTCAATAATCTCGAGTTCTTCGTGGGTAAAATGTCCAGATGATCTCGGGACATTAGTAATGTTTCGAGGAATGTTCTTTAAAGCTTCCTCGGGAAGTAGATATTCCTTGGGCAAGGTATCAGCTCGACGTTTCTGGGCAATTGTGGCTATTTCCTTGTAGTGTTGGTCCGATAGTATCGGTTGAGATTCGCCCATGATTGTGGTAAAATGGACGAGGTCAGTTGAATTAGATGTTCTAAGAGCCACTAGGTAGATTGTACACGATGTATTATTTGAGAACACGAATAATAAGAGGGAGAAGGGAGGTAAAAGAAGGATATTGTTTAGTACTGAAGAGAGATATTAAATTGGTAGAAGGAAGTGAATTATGTACTCGTATGTAAGTCACATCTTCAGCACATTCCTTATCGTGTCGAGCAGTTTCAAGGTACCCCGCCGACGCTCAACTCGACAAGTGGGGTTTCCCGATCTCGGCAAAAAGTCCCAATCATTGATATCAAGATGATCACAGTAAGAACAATTGGAGAACGAAGGAACATACAAATTTTGTTCATAAGATGTTTCTGAATTATACGTTATGAAGTTAAAGTCTTGAGTAATGTCCGCCATGGCAAGTAAGTCCACTGTCTACATGATTGCGGTAGAATACAAAAGATACTGTACTAACCAACAAACATCACCGCACGCCTCGAAGTAATCCCCGCTGCCTTGGTATTTGCATTCAGAACCCCCACATTTGATATCAGAAGATTAACATCTGTATCACTCGCTGCTGTTCCCGATTTCACGAGTGCTATTTGCTGACTGGCGGTTTCGCATGCATGGGTTGTGAGTTTGTTTGTTACGCTGCACTGGTATTAGCATCATCATCTTCTTGACCATTGCTTCTGAACCGATCCAGAAGGATGATGAGGAGACGCAAACTTACAAGGCAATAGCTCCTGCACTTCCAGTTCCGTCTTTAAGGTTGGCTTTCGAAGCTGTGTTGTTTGCTCGACCAGCATTCGTGCAGGCAGTGATTGCAGCAGTATCGGCGGCCGTCAATTTGGCAGCGTTGGCGCCACCGGTACCAAGTTTAGCGATAGCTGCCATGGCATCGGCGGATATGGTGAGAGACGATGGAGCTGTTACTCCCGCGAGAACGGTAGCAACATTCGTGGTACTGAGAACGGAAGCAGATGCCATGCCGAGAATAGCAAGGAAGAGGGTGACTGATGTCTTCATGATTGTGGAATTTGTGGAAGTATATGGAATGTCCGTATATAGTTTAATGAGTGATTGAGAAATGAAATTGGCGGGTATCAAAAAATTAGAAATTTGAATTGAAAATAAATGATCGACCAGCGCTCTGAAAATGAATGAAGAGATGAAGATACGAAGATATGAAGTTGAAGATATTGCAGAAATCATCCCAACTTATAAGGATGCATACCATGTAACATCCATCGGACGACAGGGGGATTAGTATTACCTATGAAACGAGGGTGAGTTTCGTCTAATGTTACACCCCGTGGTCTCTTGATCTCAAGCGAAGGGGTTGACATCCAACTTCGTCTGATCTTCAAGATGACGAGGATAACCATAAAGTTAAACTACTTGGAAACAACATTTTGACAGGGTAAATTCTCAAATGGAGTGTGTAAAATGAACATTGCTTCCGCTCTGAGTATACCCTCGACAACGTAAAAGTGGATGATACTAGCCAAACCAAATCACATGTGAAAAGGTATGCTGTGCACAGTGAAGTAAAGTCAAGTGAAGTTGTGATGAATTTATTAAATCAAGAGGCTACTGAATTTTCAAATTTCAACCTTATGATATTATTTTGAACCCTTGGCAAGATATGCGCAAGACGAGTGCATTTGTATCCTTCATCTAAATCTACACTCCTATGAGGAAAGAAGAGGTAGGAGTTATATTGAGGAAAGATTTGATCTGCCATCATCTATAGACGTTTGACCCAGAGTGTAGTAGGGAAGAACGTATATGCTCAAATGGGGTGCACGTAGACACACATATTCACAGGTATTCATTGAAAACCGAAGGTCGAGTAATTCATTTCTTAGCGACTCCCTATCCCCAATTGTTATGTTTCTCATCCCGAGTAGTCATAAACGCCGTTGCAGCCATTAAGTCGTCTTGGTGTAAACGTGTTATGCTGTGGAGAGGATCGGCATTAGCATGAGTGTCGACCATGAGATCGAAAAATAGTATGCGTATACTAACTGTCAAGGTAATCGGCTGCCATCAACAACTCCAAGCACAGCTCTGCAGGAATCTCCATGTCTGGCACATTCTCCGAGTTCCGATATTTGTAGTTATAGTAAAAGTATTCGGCGACCTTCTCGAGGACAATACCACTAATGGGGGGTTGCAGTTAGTCTTTTGTTAATTTGTAGCAAAGCAATGCCATGCTAGACATAAAGATAATGCTGCCAATGATGGCTGGCTGATGATGATGATGATGATGATGATGATGAGTTGCCATTCTTCTGGTTTCTAGCTGGTTGATGGTGGATGTTTGGAGAGTGATGTAAAGAAGAGAAGAAAGAAAAAATTGTGCAAATATTTAACTAGACATAAAAGCGGGTCTCAGATCAAGTGTAAAAACGACCACCCAGCCCGCGGCAATCCCAAAGTGGGAAAGAGGGTCTGTATCGAAATAGCTTCTATCATCACCGACGCCTGTGTATTTTCTGCTGTACAATATCCTCCTCTCCAGCTCTTAGGCTGTTCGTCGAAGAAATGGACTATCGCGTTATAGGTAGAGTGAGAAAATAAAAAGGAAAAATGCATACTTTATCTCTTCGAAACGGCAGATTCCTGTCTGAGATTCTTCCCAACCACCTGTACACAAATAAAATGAGTCTTGATTCGAGAATTTGATGAATGAATGGAGTGCAAAACGAACTGGTTGTATCCAACATCTTCTTGATCGCACCACTTGTGCAAGCAGCCTCTCTCAAAACGACGAACTCAAATCCATCGCAAGATACGAGTGTCACATATTTGCTTTCATTAGGCGCTGTCATGGTTAGAAATGTTGGCAGATGTTGTACTGTAGTGTATAGCAATTGGGAGATTTTTTTGATGCAAAGACATAACACGATGTTCTTTGAGGCAACACGACATAAAACTTTTAGGCTGCTGCTAAGCGGGAAGCGGGAAGCGCGAGGCTGCGAATCTTCAATGAAATGTAAAATGTAAAGATGTAAAATGTCACAAAGGGTATAAATTAATGTTTGCATTTTTATATCTTTCGAGGCTCATAATTAATACTGTAATTGATTACAGTTGGTTTTCAACCACACGATAACCTTCTAGATTTAGGCACGGCCAAGGTCCATTGTTTTTTATAACTCGAGTATATTAGCCAAGATCTGCCAGTTACCGCTATAATCTTCAAAAGGTAAGATACCCGGTACGAGAGTACGAGAGAATACGAATGTCTGAGATTCTTGAAAGAACGAGCTACTGTATCTGATCCTTGTACAATGTATGTACAGTGCATTCATTTCACGAAATGAGGGATAAACATTATTTGCGAGTGCCAAATGGTAAGAATGGGAACCATTGGCTACAGCACAGGATTGTACAAGTCTACAAGTCTTCAAAACGAGCTGACTGCCCTATCTGCAGTCGGTTTCCTGTCCACTTCCACTCCACTCCACTCCACTCCATGCTTTTCCCGCGTTACGACGTGCGAGACGAATCCGAAAACTCTCGAAACCATATTACTCCGTCTACCGGTACCTTGGACTGCCCAACTTGGTACTCAACTCAATATCACCAACATACATATTTTAAAACCCTCCATTCTTTTCGAATCCGCGTTTCTGATTGGCTTTTGAAAAGTACGGGTAATCTGTGTAGGAACATCAAACCTAAGAAAAGAGTATCAAGCAATACAATCTAGTGTTACTGAAGAATAAATGCAATTGAAATACAGAATCTTACTCTCAATTCCAGACTTTTTAATAACATAATTTTCATATTTTTATAACCGATAGTTGTTGAATAATTGAGTATTGAAATGTTTTGAAGTATTCCTTATATGTTATAAATCGAAAAGTTCTTAAAGTTGCGATTCTGATTGATTTAAGAGATAGGAATAATCTCAAATCAATCTTTGAAGACTACAAATCGAAAAGGATATAATACAATACATTATATATCTATCTATTGATAATAAATACTATAAATATAATATAAGTTTTCAATATAAATTTTATCATTTTCTTTATATATCTTACTTTCTATTTATTTTATAATTGTTTTCCTTTTTATTAAATACTTTCTTATTTATTATATTAATTCATTTGTTTTTATTATATATATTCTATTTTTATAGATATAGATATTATTGGTTCAAATATACAAATTGATCTTATTTTTAATAATCTGATTAATGAGCATCCTTCTATTTGATATCAAATATATAAAATATCTTAGAATTATATCTTTTTCCTTAAAACTCTTAGAAATAGTATATTGAAATAGATAAAGATGTATTAGGGATACAGGGATAGATTAGCGATTTGGTGATAACAATTAGAAGAAGTATTAGATCCTAGATTTAGTTTATCTTTACCCTCCCCTGTATTATTAGTGCTTTGTTATAAGGAGATAATAGAAAAACTC